CAGCATTATTTTTTCGGCTAAAGTGTTGGCTCTGCTCCACATGTAAACAAACAGCACCGTGTGATGATGTCATCAACCGTGGCTCAGTTCGGTTCTGCAGGTGTGAGTGTGGAACATAGAAACTGCAACAACTGAACTTAAGCACAACATGGTTCTAAAGTCCTAGAGTGAATCCCACTAAAGCTGAACACATTTACTTTGGGATATTTTGAATATAAATAAGTATTGTAGTGCCTTTAGCATACATATTTACAGACATAATTCACTAATAACTGGAGACATATTAATTACATGTTTACCTATGTTCAGTGTGTAGTTTTTAGGTTTGTGCTCTATATGCATTTGAGGCACGCTGTTCTGTTTACTGTTATTAGCCGTTTCTTGAGAGTTGTGAGTGCAGTTCATAAAGTGACACACAATTTTTTGTGTCTAAAATGTGAGAAGTTGTCGGCTCCTTTTTACTACGAATAACTTCCACATTATATTTATTTTATTTTTAAAATATAGAGCGTGTAGCTGGATATAGAGTTTAGTTTCTAGTTTTTATTTCATGTTCAAAATATATTTTATTCATTTATAGCCTAGATTCATTTTCAATTTGAAAGATTTGAATAAATGAAATGCTGAATAAATTCATCATGTAAGTAAAAATATAATCATTTGAATAATTGTGATTTCAGTATTGACCAAAATAATGGTGATAATGATTTTTTTTTTTTATTATTTTTTTTTTTATTTTCCATAATGGAGCAGCTCTAACCTTTGGTAAAACACATGTTTTCATGTCTTCAGTCGGGTGTAGAGCCTCACACTGGAACAACATTTATTTGATTTATTTATTGAATGAAATTGGTGCGAAAACAAAGAACGCCCAAACTTGTTGAAAGTCGCCCAAATATGATGTGCTCCTCTAAGACTTCCCCTCGTCACCCCACATAGTCAAAAGAACAGACGAGCACCCGTCCAGTCTGACAACACAGTGAACAGGACTGGTGGAGTCGGATCATCAGGATCACGTCAGAAGAACGACACAACGAGCACAAACTGAACCACAAATATTTTAAACAAGAATAAACATAAAACATGATCCAGGAAGAAATTCATTTGGCTTTAAAATAATAAACCACACACTTGAATTCAAATAATCATTTTCATTAAGGAATTAAATGTTGACATGGTCTTTTTTAAAACAGACAGATTAATAATAAAAAGTTAATCAAACGTGAATGAAATAAAACACAAGTCCAGTGTGTTTTTGAGTTTTTGAAATCAGAACAACATTAGAACATGACTTAAGTTCACAAGAGTCACTTTTATGTGAAATAGGACCTGTAAATCATTACTAAAATGTACATTAATATGTAAAACAACAACAACAGATTCAACAGATGAAAGATAAAAAGTAAAAAAAAAAAAAAAACAGCTAGAAAAAATGTTCATGAAATCAATATTGAAATTTAGTTTTTGAGAAAAATAAATCAAATTGTGTCATACACTGAGATCAGTAAAAGGACATGTGATTAAAAAAAGCTCCAACCTGTAACTTTATTTTTATTTATTGATAAATGACTAAACAAGAGCGAGTGAAAATGAACAGAGACTCTGACGCCCCCCGCACACACACACACACACACACACACACACACACACACACACACACACACACACACACACACACACACACACACACACACACACACACACACACACACACACACACACACACACACACACCAGCAGCCGAGAAAACACAGATGGACTCACAGCCAGAACGACTCACCTGCAGTTTAACCAATCTGCTCCTGTCACCAAAAACAGACAGAACACAGAGGAGGAGAGGAGGAGAGAGAGAGAGAGAGAGAGGATTAGAGAAGACAGCAGGAAGAGAGGAGGAAGAGAGAGAGAGCAGGAGGGAGGTGGATGGAGGATGACAGAGGAAGAGAGAGGTGGAGAGAGGAAGAGAAGTGGGGAAAGGCAGAGAGAGGAAGAGAGGAAGAGAAAGGAGGCAAGAAACAGAGAGAGGAGGAAAGAGGAAGTAAGAAGAGAGAGGAAGAGAAAGGAAGAGAGAGGAGGAGAGAGAAAGAGAGAGAAGAGAGAGAGAGAGAGAGAGAGGAGAGAGAGGAGAGAGGAAGAGAGAAGAGGGGAGGAAGAGAGAAGAGGGGGAGGAAGAGAGAGGCAGAGAGAAGAAGGGGAAAGAAATGAGGTGGAGAGAGGAAGAGAGGAGGAGAAAGGCAGGAGAGGATGAGAGAGGAGGAGAGAAACAGAGAGAGGAGGAGGAGAGGAAGAGGAGAAGAGAGAAGCAGAGGATGTCAAATCCAAGACTAGACCAGGACATTAAACAATAGAACACTTTGGTAAATAAACCATTTTAAACGTTCTCTTAACCAGGACTAAACCAGAACTAAACCAGAACTAAACCAGAACTAAACCAGAACTAAACCAGGACTAAACCAGGACTAAAACCAGGACTAAACCAGGACTAAACCAGAACTAAACCAGACTAAACCAGACTAAACCAGGACTAAACCAGAATTTAATCAGATCAAAACCAGACCAGGTTTAGTTCTAATAAGATCTGTTTTAGGTCTGGTTAGAACTAAACTTTTCTAGTTAAGTCAAATCCAGGACTAATCCAGATCTAAATTAGAAACTTAGAAACCAGCCAGGAGTAAATCAGGTCAAAATTAAGGCCCGACATGGACTAAACCAGGACTAAACCAGGATCAGACCAGAACTTAACCAGAACTTAACCAGGACTAAACCAGGACTGAATCAGGACTAAACCAGGATCAGACCAGAACTTAACCAGAACTTAACCAGGACTAAACCAGGACTAAAACAGAACTAAACCAGGACTAAAACAGAACTAAACCAGGACTGAATCAGGACTAAACCAGGACTAAAACAGGACTAAAACAGGACTAAACCAGGACTAAAACAGAACTAAACCAGGACTGAATCAGGACTAAACCAGGACTAAACCAGGACTGAATCAGGACTGAACCAGGACTGAATCAGGACTAAACCAGGACTAAAACAGGACTGAACCAGGACTGAATCAGGACTAAACCAGGACTAAAACAGGACTAAACCAGGACTAAACCAGGACTGAATCAGGACTGAATCAGGACTACAGTGAACAGTTCTGTTCTGTTGTAATGATGTTTTCAGATTTAAATGTTACCGCAGATAAAGTGAAATGTCATGAACCAAACACAACGACGACAACGATCTGACTCTGTCCAATGTGACAGGTGCAGGACAGGACACAGACCAGAGACAGGTGGAACAGATAATACTCCCTACAACTGTCTTCCTCTGACTTCTTTTATTTAGCTGAGATTTTAGATTTAATTTCTTATTTTTCAATTTTATTTTGACTTGTACATTTACATTGATATCATAGTTTTATTTCACACCAGTCTCTTGATTTATTTATTTATTTATTTATTTTTGTTACTTATTTAGAATGTATTATTATCATTTATATTTTTACTCTTTGTTAATATATTTATTGTGATGTGTGAGTGTCTGTGTCCAGATTATTTCTCTTGTGGATAATCAGAGTTCTCATCTTTTTCACAAAATTTCAAAAAGTTTCCATGACTTTTTCATGAGCTAAAGTGAATTTTCCATGACTTTCCAGCACCTACATATGTAGAATTGATCAGACTTGTAGGGTTAAATCTGAAACATTAACTCTTTCCACTCACCTTATGGTTTGGGATTATAGTTTTTGAACATTCTAAATCCTGTCAGTGCATTTATGTTCGTCTCTTTTAAACAAGAGATGCAGGGTCGGGGTTGGATAAGCCACTGAAGGAACACAAGTGGTTGAACACAAGTTGTTGAGCAGCCAGTCCACCGTTCATCCATTGAATCCTGTCTTCTCTCGTTTGCCCTCACAAACCAACATACTCTTTATGTTTTTAGGTTCTTTTTTCAGACCTAGAGTGTTATTTCATACCTGACAGTTTGGACTGCTCACTAGCGTCTTCCTCAGAGTCACGTGATAGAATATTGGAAGAGCAAATGAATCTCACTGGACCAACATAGTCTTTGTGGTGGGTTTCATAGTGATGACACACATTATACTCCTCAAAAACCTCCGCACTTTCTTTACACATCAGACAAACTGCACACTCCTCACACAGCAAAAGAAGAATCGGTCGTGCAATGTTCTTTGAAAACTCACCAGCCTCTGTCAACTTTGACTACTTTAACACGAGACATGTTACTGTCCTTAACTGTACTACAGTAGTTTGTACTACAGTACTCTGTACTACAGTAGTTTGTACTACAGTACTCTGTACTACAGTAAATGTAATCTAATGTAAATACATAATATAATTATTTAAATATAAATACTTAATATAAATATAATTTTTTTAATAAAAAAAAAGAGAAAACTACAAACATGCAGATGTGATTTAAATATGGGCTACATTTGAAATTTCATGGTTTCTGTTTGTTTCGAGCTGTGGATCTGATCTCCACTCATCATAAAAACATAAAACTAAAACTATAACTGTATGAATCAGGAGGTGTTTGTCTGTTTGTGTCTGGTGTGGTTTGAACCTTTTGCTCAGATGAAATATAATGTGTGTAATGTACCAGCAGAGGGCAGCAGTGCTCTTATAACAGGACTCACACTATACTCACACTGTAGTGCTGCTGTTGGGCCACAAGAGGGGGCTGTCATTGCACATTTAAACTCAGGTTTTGTCTGTGTTCTGTCCTCAGCCTCTGCTCTGGACCTGCGCCCGTGTGACCCTCTGCAGCCCAAACAAGCCCCAAAGTAAGACTCACCCTTTCACATCACATTTATTTTGTTCTGACTCTTTTTGTAAAATGATTTGAAGTTATTTCTGCAGGTTTCAGGTCATTTTACGTGAATTATTTGCTTAGAACTAAAATGTTACAATGGCCAAAGTTTTTCTCTAATTATAAACATGATTGTCTGATTTGATTTCAGTCAAACCCAAGTTGAAGTGTTGAATCTGAGCTGGACTTTGTGACACACCCCACTGTAAGAACTCAACGTGTACTTTTATTATTCAGTTATTTATAGTCCAGTATTTACATGTTATTCTGGGATTTCAAAGTTCTTTTTAGTCCTAGTTTAGTCCTTGGTTTAGTCCAGTTTAGTCCTGATTTAGTCCTGGTTTAGTTCTGGTTTAGTCCAGGTTTAGTCCTGGTTTAGTCCTGGTTTAGTCTGGGTTTAGTTCTGTTTTAGTCCTGGTTTAGTCCTGGTTTAGTCTGGTTTAGTCCTGGTTTAGACCTGGTTTTGTCCTGGTTTAGTCCTTTTTTAGTCCTGGTTTAGTCCTGGTTTAGACCTGGTTTAGTCCTGGTTTAGTCCTGGTTTAGACCTGGTTTAGTCCTGGTTTAGTCCTGGTCTAGTCCTGGTTTAGTCCTGGTTAAGTCCTGGTTTAGTCCTGGTTTAGACCTGGTTTTGTCCTGGTTTACCTGGTTTAGTCCTGTTTTTAGTCCTGGTTTAGTCCTGGTTTAGTCCTGGTTTAGTCCTGGTTTAGACCTGGTTTTGTCCTGGTTTAGACCTGGTTTAGTCCTGGTTTTAGACCTGGTTTAGTCCTGGTTTAGACCTGGTTTAGTCCTGGTTTGTCCTGGTTTTAGTCCTGGTTTACCTGGTACCTGGTTTAGTCCTGGTTTAGTCCTGGTTTAGACCTGGTTTAGTCCTGGTTTAGTCCTGGTTTAGACCTGATTTAGTCCTGGTTTAGACCTGGTTTAGTCCTGGTTTAGACCTGGTTTTGTCCTGGTTTAGTCCTGGTTTAGACCTGGTTTAGTTCTGGTTTAGTCCTGGTTTAGACCTGGTTTAGTCTTGGTTTAGTCCCGGTTTAGTCCTGGTTTCGTTTGTTGTTTGTTATAAATATTTTTAACACGTTTTTCTCTCTCTGAAGGCCGCGCTCTGATTGGACGATACACGAGCGTCACTTCCTGCTGCGGTGGGTCACATGACAAACAGGAAGCTGCTGGGATCCTTTTTTGGTCAGAGATCATTTTGATTCAACAAATTCATCTCATATTTGTATCTCATTATCATATTATCTAATGACACGTGTTTGTCTGGCCACAAAACACAACACAGACGACGACGACGCTCACCCAAACATTCCTCAAATATTCTTTATTTATATTATATAACGTTTACTTTTTGTGTGATGCATTAAAAAAATAAAATAAAAATCAGCAACGTGTCTTTAAAAAAAAAAAAAAAAAAAAGAGTCTAGGTAGGTTTAAAATCGATGCGAGGCACTTTAATTTTTCATCTTCCGACCGTAAAATTTGTGTCCATTCTTCTCTGACCAGTGAATTTCAGATTCTAGAAAGTGATGAAGTCAAATTCTCAGATGGAGGCAGAAAAAAGCGTTTTAAAATTACCGTATTTTTCGAACTATAAGTCACTTTGGAGTATAAGTAGCACTTTTTGGGGGAATTTATTTAATAAAATCAGAGACCAGGATCCAATATTTCCTGTCGAAAGTCAAGTTCTAGAAGAGAGAACAACAGACTGTTAACGTCACATATGAACAGTTCTTCAGATAAATATAACATAAACAACAGAACAAGTTTACCAAACTCTCCATCTCACTCCAAATCACTAAATCTATTCAATTCTTCATCCTCGGTGTCACTTCTGAAAAACTCGGCCTCGACCTCCGACCTTCTGTGTCGCTGTCGTCAGACTCGGCGTCATATATGTTATTAGGTTCTTTTTTCAGACCTACAGTTTTGTTTCATACCTGACAGTTTCGACTAGGGATGGGCATGATTAATCGAGTACTCGATAATTGATCATTGAGAATTTCATCGATTATGTTCATTTTAATCATCAAACCGAATGTAGGTTGTTGTGTGTATCGTGACCAAACAGGTGTGTACATGTGTCTCTGCATCAGAAGGAGCGAGACACAAACAGTGGGTCAGTCTGGAACGAACCAAAGCACAAATGTGGATTTAACAATGACTTGTACAAGAAATTCCACGCTTTCCGTTGCGTTTGACACAAGTGTGAGTCCATGTGCACAGTGTATAAAGCAGCACATATGTTTCTGTGTCCAGTAGGAAAAAGTTTTACCAGGTGAGAGTCGCTCAATGTGGATGACGAGGCCCCGCCCCCCTCCCCCCGTACGCTGTCCTGGTTTTGACAAACACAAATCTGGTCACACTAACCTGTATTCACCTGAGTCATGTCTTTTAATCCAACACAAGTTGAACCACATCAGCGACACAAGAGCTGGAGTTTTATCTTCACTTAGTTTATGCAAATTAGTGATGTGGTTTTAAGTTTTGTTTCTGTGAGATTTGAACAAAACTGAATTAAACACATTATAATGTCAAACAGCTGATGTGGCTCTAGAGTCGTTACGGTTTATATGTCGTAAAGTTTAATTTATTTATGCAGATTAGTAGTGCAGATAGTAATAATAATGATGATCATTTTAATATAAAAACATTAATGATTAATCGATAATCGATCGTTAATTCTTCCAACGAAAATTTCATCGAATGCCCATCCCTAGTTTCGACTGTTCACTAGCGTCTTCCTCAGAGTGGTCACGTGATGTTTCTGTGATGTGTCCGTTCAGCTGATTTAAACACGTTTTGACGCTGTCTTTCTATCGGTGGAGGCAGAACAACAGCGCCACCTGCAGACCCACTTCCTCAGGACAGTATCCCAGGTGTGTGAGAGTAAAAAAGCCCACTCGTCCCGGTTTACAGTCCCATGTGCACGTTTCCGTATTTCGATTGCCTCTTTAATCCAGCGACGATGTTTGTTTTCCTCTGTCCCAAAACCTGTTTAAATCAGCTGACCAGACACGTCACAGAAACATCACATGACCACTCTGAGGTAGAGCGCTAGTGAGCAGTCCAAACTGTCAGGTATGAAAACAAACCTATGGTCAGAAAAAAGAACCTAATAACATAAATTATCAGAAGACCAAATGAACCTCATCGGACTAGACTCAGCATCAGTTCCAGTTAGAATTATTCGTGTCTTTGTGAATCTCGACAGGATGGTTTCAGTGTCACTGAAGTCCAGACTTTGTCCATCCATCCAGTGACTTCAGGAAAGTTTCATGGTGCATCCTCCTGGTGTCACAAGTTTCTCTCTCACTCCAAACTTTCTTTCTGCTTCTCGATTATCGTTTTCAGCTGCAGATTTCACGACTTGCAATTTGTTAATCTGCAGAATCTGATTTTGTTTTTGGGGCATTTGTGTTCAATCTTCTCAATTGTCTTTATAAGTTTGTTTAAATGTTAAATTGTTCAGTGGTGCAGAATAGGGTTGTGCGGTAATACAGTATATCGTGGTATCAAAAAATAGCAACGGTATCAGTTTAATTACCGTCATTTTAAAAAGCTGCAGCGCATAAGGACCTAGTATAATATAATTTATTCATATCTAAATTTGCTCAGCACAAATTATTGTGTTGTTGTATTTTCAATATAATGTTATCACGATTTAAAACTAAGAGTATTTATAATGTTTCTTGGGGAGATGAAGTTTGATTAGTTTCGTTCCGCTGTCATGTGACGCTCATAAGGGAGACCAAGACAAGATGGCAAGTCCGGCTGCAAGCGAGTTGGTCCTCCCCAAAAATACTCGTACTTCTGTAATTTGGCAGCATTTTAGCTTCAGGCGCACATTTCTTTACGTTTTACAGAAAAGAAACTTAAAACCGCATGTCTCATTTGCATGAACTGATAAAAACAGCTCACTTTTGTGCTGCTAAAGCGGTTTAGCTTTTGTTGGACTAAAGGACACAACTCAGTGGAATATATGGTGTTTTATTCTGTGGAATATATGTTTTTTCTGCGACAGAGGATGTTGCGGCTGACGGTGAGTCTGTTCTGTGCGTGTGTCGCGTTGGAGACAGTTCGTGTTTTAACTTTTCAGAGATTATGGGCCTGGCTCCACTGCATGTGTGTATTTCGCCTTACATGAGCGTAAAAACTGCAACTTTTGGACGTGTAACTTTTAGAATGCATGGAAAGTGAACGAGGGCGCGCATATGGAGCAGCACGTCCTGCGCGCATAGATTTCAGAACATAGGATACATCCTATATTTTGACGCTCTACGCGAGCATAGGTGGTATCAAAATGTTGGATACCGCCCAGCCCTAGTACAGAAGTAATGGTGCGATCGACTGACATGATTCAGACAGAACAGAGGCTCGTTCTTTAACTTCTTAGGTTCTTTTTAAAGACAATGCAGTAAAGTGTATTTACCTTGTTGACATGTTTCGGCTTAAAAAGAACCTAAGAAGTTAAAGTAGACAAGAAGACAAAATGAACATCATTGGCTTAATAAGAGGCTCTTTCTGCAGGAGACATGTGCAGTAGAGTGAAGTGACAGTGGTACAGGAGGAACAGGAGCAGCACATACTCACACACAAGACTAGAACCTCTCACCGCTTCACTGTCAACATTTGAATATATCAGTCACACTGAAGTATAAGTCACAGGAAACACCCAAACATGAAAAAAGTGTCACTTAAAGTTTGAAAAATCCTGAACATTTATTGCCGTATTAAAAACATGCGTGATATTAAAGTCAGACAATAAAACAGACAAACAGTTTACACAAAGACATGAAACAGGCCCAGCAAATGATTCAGGTTGATAATTTAGTTCTTCATATACTGATAACATGTAATTATCACATTTTTCCTCACGTGTTTCTATTAATTTAAAACCAGACTGAACCTGGAGCAGTTTCCTCAGGCCAGACAAAAGTCATTATGATTGTGAGAACAAAGAGAACAACAAGAGAAGGAAATACAATTAAAAGTTGCAAAAAATGATTTCAGATTGTCACATGAAGCTTTTGACACTTTAGACTCACTCACAGTGGGAAGAGCAAGCACAACTCATTCATTTTATATTTTATTACTTATCTTTCTATTTTATTTTACTGTACATTTACATTTATATAATTTGACACCTGTCCTACTTATTTTTATTTATTATTTTTTATTTTTTTCATTTATTATTACTTTTTTGTTTGCTTTTTTTTTTTGGATCATTTGCGGCAAACAAAAACAAAATATAACCCGCGACTACATAGGTCATGGCAGGAAGGTCCGAGCTGAAACAAAGGCACCAAACGCATGAACAACAAGTTTGGATTCACAACTCCACTCCCTGGACATATAAAAGACAAAATATCAATTAAAACAAACAAAACTCAGCGCACAATTCATAAACTCCAGAGCTGTGTATTTTCCAAAACATGACTATACTCTTTTTTTAAAGGTTTCTACAGTGTTGGACTGTTTAAAGTCATCGCTCCAAATATTTTACAATCCAAAAACTCTAACAAAAACACAATCACTTTCTTCCTCATTCTTATCTTTTTTTTTTGTTTGTTTGTTTGTTTTGTTTTTTGTTTCCCCTGTTTATGGTCGTACAAAGTAATAACAATGTTAACAAAGGTACAAAAGTTTGTCATATATGGTCGTGCGAAACAAACAACAATGAAAATGAAAGAATTATTTTTTTGTTTATGGTCGTACAAACTAATAATAATGTTAACAACAGCACAAAAGTTTATCATTTATGATCATGAGAAATAAAAAAAAAAAGAAGAAATGTAAGGACATTTTGTTTTTGTTTATGGTCGTACAAATTAATAATGATGTTAAAGAAGGTGAAAAAGTTTATCGTTTATGATCGTGTGAAACAAACATCGATGAGAATTTAAAAAAAATGTAAGGACATTTTGTTTTTGTTTATGGTTGTGCAAAACTAATACTAACATTAACAAAGGTGAAAAAGTTTATTGTTTATGATCGTGCGAAACAAACAACGATGAAAATAAAAGAATGTAAGAATTATTTGTTTTTCGTTTATGGTCGTACAGGCTAATAATAATTTTAACGAAGTGAAAAAATGTATCATTTATGATTGTGCGAAATAAACTACAATGACAATTTTTAAAAAAGAAATGTAAGGACATTTTGTTTTTGTTTATGGTCGTGCAAACTAATACTTATTAATGAAGGCACAAAGGTTTATCGTTTATCATTGTACAAAATAAAAGTTAAAGAAAAATTTTAAGAAGAGCATGTGTTTAGTAGTTAATAGTTGTGTGTTTTTTTTGTTTTTTTTTTTTTTTTATACCCCCATCTCACTAATCCCACCCTCAAAACTTCTATTCAAGTAAGAGTACTGTACTGTTACTTCAATAAAAGTATTTCTCAAGTAGGAGTAAAAGTATGCAGTTAGAAAAGTAAAATGTCTGTAAAAAGTGACTGAAGTAGCTGTGAGTGAGTTCCACCCTCCTCATCTACATTTGATTAAAGTTGGAGTAATTGCACAGGTCTACATCAAATTCTTTTCCTTGGAAATTTCAATGTAGTTTTTCACGTTTTCAAACACAAGGACAGAGTCACGTTTGAGTTTCCAGAGTGATTTATTCTGATTCAGAAACTCAGAAACATTCAGATTTCTCAGGGACAAACAGTGAAAACTGAACAAACATCACATCATCATCAATCTGACGCCAACACACAGACCTGGATCCTCTGCAGTCCTGGTTTAGTCCTGGTTCAGTCTTGTTGTAGTCCTGGTTTAGTACCGGTTTAGTCCTGGTGTAGTCTTAGTTTCATCCTGGTTTAGTCCTGGTTTACACCTAGTATTAGTCCTGCTTTAGACCTGGTTTCGACCTTGTTTAGTCCTGGTTTAGTCCTGGTTTAGTCCTAGTTTAGTCCTGGTTTAGTCCTGGTGTAGTCCTGGTTTAGTCCTACTTTAGGCCTGGTTCAGTCCTTGTTTAGTCCTAGTTTAGTCCTGGCTTAGTCCTTGTTTAGTCCTTGTTTAGTCCTAGTTTAGTCCTGGTTTAGTCCTTGTTCAGTCCTTGTTCAATCCTGGTTTAGTCCTGGTTTAGACCTGGTTCAGTTCTTGTTTAATCCTGGTTTAGATTTACTTTAGTCCTGGTTTAGTCCTGGTTTAGTACCAGTTTAGTCCTGCTTTAGACCTGGTTTCAACCTTGTTTAGTACTGGTTTAGACCTGGTTCAGTTCTTGTTTAGTCCTGGTTCAGTCCTTGTTTAGTCCTGGTTTAGATCTGCTTTAGTCCTGGTTTAGTCCTGGTTCAGTCCTTGTTCAATCCTGGCTTAGTCCTTGTTTAGACCTGGTTCAGTCCTTGTTTAGTCCTGGTTTTGACCTGCTTTAGTCCTGGTTCCTCCCTCGTGTAGTAGTAGTAGTAGTAGTAGTAGTAGTAGTAGTAGTATTAGTAGTATAATTGTATCCGTGTGTTTCTCGAGGTCTTGTTTATTTTGTTTAATGACAGTGTGTAAAACGTGTCATTATGAGATTAATGAAACCTGTCCGTCTACGTCAGGAGCTCAGCCGCACATAGATGCTTTATGGGTCAATAAATCAGAGTGACGCGGGTTTAACTCCGGCTTTTCCACATACTTTCATCTTCATTTGAATATGTGATGTGTTTGTTTTGCAGCATGGGGCGAGCACCATCCTGACAGGAAGTGCACAGGCGGATGAACTCTGACCCCGGAACACAGCCAACAGAGTGAGTGTCAAGTCCTGGTCTGGTCCTGGTTCAGTCCTGGTTTAGTCTTCTGACCTGATTTAGTCCCAGTTTGGTCCTGGTTTATCCCTGGTTTAGGCCTAGTTTTGCCCTGGTTAAGCCTGTTTCAGTCCTGGTTCTGTCTTGCTTCCCCCATATGGAAAAAAAAAAACAGAAAAAAAAAATAAATAAATAATAATAATAATAATATATATATGTGTGTGTGTGTGTGTGTGTTTCTCACCTTCCACGGTGGTTGGTCTCTCACCCTCTTCCAGTTCGGGTCAGCTCCTCCTTGAGCCCCTGGAATTTTTCTAGTTTCTCGTGTTCCTTTTTCCTGATATTAGCATTGCTTGGTCTTGTGATGTCCACCACCACGGCTCTGCTCTGTTTCTTATCCACCACCACTATGTCTGGTTGGTTCGCCATCACCATTCTGTCAGTCTGTATCTGAAGTCCCACAGGATCTTGGCTCGGTCGTTCTCCACAACCTTTGGAGGTGTTTCCCACCTTGATCCTGGGGTCTCCAGCCCGTACTCTGCACAGATGTTTCTGTACACTATGCCCGCCACTTGGTTATGTCGCTCCATGTATGCTTTCCCTGCAGCATCTTACACCCTGCAGTTATGTGCTGGACTGTCTCAGGAGCCTCTTTGCACAGTCTACACCGTGGGTCTTGTCTGGTGTGGTAGATCTGGGCCTCTATTGCTCGAGTGCCCAGGGCCTGCTCCTGAGCAGCCAGGATCAGTGCCTCTGTGCTGTCCTTCAGACCAGCCCTCTCAAGACATTGGTAGGATTTCTTGATATCAGCCACTTCAGTTATGTTCCGGTGGTTCGCCCCATGTAGGGGTTTGTCCTGCCATGATGGTCCCTCCAGCACCTCTTCCTCTGGACCCCACTGTCTGAGACATTCTCTGAGCACCTCATCTGCCGGGGCCTTGTCCTTGATGTTCTCAAGGAGCTTGGATGTTTCATCCTGGACAGTGGTTCCCACACTCACTAGTCCTCGGCCCCCTTCCTTTCGGCCTGCGTACAGTCTCAGGGTGCTGGATTTGGGATGGAACCCTCCATGCAGGTCAGGAGCTTTTGTGTTTTATCATCTGTGGTCTGTATCTGTGGGCTACTGAAACACAGAGGAAATGGGCAATGTATATTATATATATATATATATATATATATATATATATATATATATAATATTTTACCACTGTCTTTGTAGTAAATCTTTATATAAGGTTCATATGTGTCATGTGTAGTTTATTCCTGAAAGTGTTTCCGCTTTTGCATTTTTCTCATACAACTATATTATGAAAAACTAGTAAAGATAAAGTGAACATTTTGCATGACATTTACAGGTAATGTTCATGATAAACTACATTTTCTTGGTATGTTCCATGTAATGTTTGTATTCTTTAATTATATGTTGCAGTAAAAAAATAAAATAAAAAAGAAATCTGAGTCAGAAGAGGATTTGAACCCAGGTTGCCCATGTGACAGTCCAGTGATTTCCCATTTAAGCTACTAACTGTCCAGAGACTGGAGCAGATGTTGAGGACAGTTATAAGTACCTTGGTTTCCCACAAAGCAACAAGGAAAGTGGCTACAGGATTGTGCAGAGTAAAAATCTTTTCACATCATGTATGTTCACTGTGACATCAATGGAAGAGTGTGTGTCTTATGTTTTTTAAGGTTATATTTGCATTACTGTGTTTACCCCCATGCTGCCCAACACACACACACACACACACACACACACACACACACACACACACACACACACACACACACACACACACACAACACACACACACACACACACACACACACACACACACACACACACACACACACACACACACACACACACACACACACACACACACACACACACACACACACACACACACACACACACACACACACGCACACACACACACACAGCACACACACACACGCACACACACACACACACACGCACACACACACACACACACACACACACACACACACACACACACACACACACACACACACACACACACACACACACAGTGATAATTTTCTTTCTCACTCTCATACACACACCACACATCAATTGTTTTTCTGTGATTCTGTGGTAAAAATGACCTTTGTCCAACACTTGTGAGGACATTGTGTGTGGGATCAGTGTCATGTTCAGCTCTTGCAGGTTACAAAGTTTTATATGTTTCATGCTGCACATATTTACCAAAGATCTTGTAACTCTTGTTTTCACTGTCAAATACAAATCTTTTAGGATTCATATGAAACATGTTAAAATGGTCTATGATTTGTCTATACCTTTTCCATATGGGCCTCCTGGCTTAGACCTGGTTTAGTCCTGGTTTAGACCTGACCAGGCCTTTGGACTAAACTTTCATGAACTCTTGTTTTGGTCTTTTAGTTTAGCTGTTAAACCTGGTCTAGCCCTGGTTCCATCCTGGTTTAGTCCTGGTTTAATTCTTCTAACCTGATTCAGTCCTGGTTTTGTCCTGATTCAGTTTGGGTTTAGTCCTGATTCAGTCCTGGTTTAATCCTGATTCAGTCCTGATTCAGTCCTGGTTTAGTCCCAGTTTAGTCCTGGTTCAGTCCTAGTTTAGTCTTGATAAAGTCCTGGTTGAGTCCTGGTTCAGTGCTGGTTTAGTCCTGGTTTAGTTCGGGTTTTGTCCTGTTTCAGTCCAGGTTCAGTCTGGGTTCAGTCCAGGTTTAGTCTTGCTTTAGTCCTGGTCTAGTTCTTGTGACTGTTACGTCAAAAGAAAATAAACTGGTTTCGTTTATTTTCTCAGGAGTGTGACTCATGACTCGGTGTTACTCTGTGACTCAGGTCGGAGTTATCTGTTAATTACTTGTGGTTTGTGGTTTTCGTTTAAGTGAATCAGAGTGACGCGCTCTTTGGTGTGGCTTTTCTGTGGAGCATCAGACATCCTGGTTTGACCCTGGTTCAGTCTCATTTTTAGTAGTTTCAGTCCTGATGTGGTCCTGGTTTCGACCTGGTTAAGTCCTGGTTAAGTCCTGGAAAAAAACAGGACTAAACGAGGACTAAATGTGGAATAAACTTGATGTAAGTCTGAACATTGGTCAAGTCTTGGTTTTGTTTCTCATTTCGTTCTCTGTTAAACCTGGTCTAGGCCTGGTTCTGACCTCTGACCTGCATTAGTCCTGGTTTAGTCCTGGTTTAGTCCTGGTCTAGCTCTGGGTCAGTCCTGGTTTAGTCTCTTGACACAATATTTAACAAGATTTAAAGTGAAAATAAAGCACAGCAGTGGTTTTACTTGTGTGACCGTGTGAAAATCTTAAAATAACATCAACATAATAACAGATAATAATAGAATAAAGTGGTGTCCATTAGAGTGTGGAACTCAGCCAGACTGAACATGGGCCAGTTTCCTCAGGCCAAACTAAAGTCATTAAGATAACAAAGTAACAAGGAAATAGCAGGTACAAACAATCAGGTAATCAAGAAATCAATCTGTGTTGAACAAAGTGCTTTCCAATAAAAACAACAACATAAAAACATGCAAACTATGAAATCAAACAGATAAGACAAAGTGTGAGTGCAGCTCGGAGTTAAAGCCAGACGGAATATTTTTCATCTGTGGCCACACCAGTTTGTCAGAGTCTGATCCTGTCAGATCAGATCAGGTCTGGTTAATACTTGGATGGGAGACCACTGGAAAAATCAGGAGCTACAGGGGACGCCGGTCATAAAAACTGTTGCTGTGTCCTTAGGCAAGACACTTCACCCACCTCGCCTAGTATGAAGTTTGTATGGCAGTTGTGGCTACAGTAGTGGTACAGTCCACCGAGTGTGAAGTGAATGAAAAATGCTCTGTAAAGAGTCTTTGAGTGTCCAGAAAAGCACTTTATAAAACTGATGCATTATTGTTATTATTGAATAGAAACACACTAAAGTCTGTTACAGAAGACATTAAAGACGGTAAAAAAATGTTCAAGACAAATATGTGTTTGTATCAGAGGTGACAGGGGCATATCTGGGGCAGTTTGTTCCAGAGTGTGGGCTCAGCGACAAAGAAATCCTCATGGCCCCAGTGTGTGAGTCTGTCTCTGGAGACGTCCACGAGGAGTCCACTCTTTGACCTTAAGGTTCTGTTTGAGTTTTGAGCAACAGGAGTTCAGTCAAATGACACTGTCAGGAGCACAGCCAGATTAGAGCAGGTCTAAACCAGGTCTAAACCAGGTCTAAACCAAGTCTAAACCAGGTCTAAACCAGGTCTAAACCAGGTCTAAACCAGGTCTAAACCAGGTCTAAACCAGGTCTAAACCAGGTCTAAACCAGGTCTAAACCAGGTCTAAACCAAGTCTAAACCAGGTCTAAACCAAGTCTAAACAAGGTCTAAATCAGGTTTAAACCAGGTTTAAACCAGGTTTAAACCAGGTCTAAACCCGGTCTAAATCAGGTCTAAACAAGGTCTAAATCAGGTTTAAACCCTGGTCCAAACCAGGTCTAATCCAGGTCTAAAACAGGTATAAACCCTCGGGGTGCACAGCACAAAGGTTCGTGGTTCAACTCCCGGGCCTTTTGAGTGGAGTTTGCTTTTTCTTTCTGTGTCTGGGACTAAACCAGAACTAAATAAATAAACTAGATGTGGGTGTGAACATTTGTCAAGCGTTGGGTTTGTCTTTTATTTACTTCAGCAGTGGTTTTACTTGTGTGATTGTGTGAAAAGCTTAAAATAGCGTTAACATAATAACAGATAATCATAGAATAACAGTGTCCATTAGAGCGTGGAACTCAGCCAGACTGAACACGGGCCAGTTTCCTCAGGCCAAACAAAAGTCATTATGATTCTGAAAACAAAGAGAACAAAGAGAACAAAGAGAACAAGGAAATAGCAGGTCTAAACCAGGGCCAAACAAACTGTGATCTTTATTTATAGAGTCTTTTACAAGGTTCAAGGTGAACAAAGTGGTTTACAATAAAAACAACAATTTAAAACCAAAAAAAAACAAACAAACTATGAAATAAAATAAATAGCTCAAACTGTCACTGCAGCTCAGAGTGTTAAAGCCAGGATGAATAGATGAGTTTTGAACCTGGATTTAAAGAGGCCAAACGTCCAGGAGGAGTCGACTCTTTGACCTTAATGTTCCGGTTGAGTCTTGAGCAAACAGGAGTTCAGTCAAATGAGCTTTAAACCTTTGGGGGCGCACAGCATCAAAGTTCCCGGTTCGAGTCCCGGGCCTTTTGTGTTGAGTTTGGATGTTCGCTCTATGTCTGGGTTGAAGTGTGGATCAGGCCGATTTTTTCTGTGATCGAATCCGACCTGAGCCCGATACAATGAAAATCACACATTTTCATGGGCCTACTCATGATACTAATGTTTGTGTGACCTTTAACGGACACAGAGACGCAAAATACAAACTCAGGATAGAGCGGAAATAATGAGAAGACTTTATTCCTCACCTCTCATAAAGTGGTAAATTTAAAGTGTATTATCTCATCCACATTATCCATAGAAATTGTCCTTCGCAAATAACGACCCTCAGTCCACAAAACAGCACCGTGAATCAAGTTGTGGTGTTCTTTAAAAGAACATGAGTAGTTCCTCTAGCATGTCTGTTTACATCCTCACAGGTGAACCTGCAGATTCGTGATAGTAATTCTATTTCCTGTGAACTTTATCTCCGATCTTTTATACTTTAAAAATCCTGTATCTGAAATATCACAAATAATAATAACACAGTAACAGTGTCATGATAACAGAGTCTCAGAGCGACTGGTTTTACTGTAGACAGGAAACTGATGTGAAGTCCAACCGAGCTCCCAACAGGAGGTTTAAATATTTGTTTGAACCCGTCCGTCGGGTTTCCGTGGTTTGGTCTGGGTGTGCTTCCTCCATCAACCCAAAACATGCACCACGGGTCAAATCCTCCAGATAAAGTCCTGACCAAGACTAACTTAAAATCTGGAGATGGATCCCACGACCCCTGACACGTTTAACCCAGACAGTGAAGGATGGGTCAAATGCAGGTTTAATCCAGAGACAGTGAAGGATGGGTCAAATGCAGGTTTAATCCAGAGACAGTGAAGGATGGGTCAAATGCAGGTCTAACCCCGAGGCACTGGTTGAAGGACGAGTCAAAAGCAGAGAACACATTTCTCTACAGGGACACTGAAGGATGGGTCAAATGCAAGTTTAACCCAGAAACACTAATGGACCGGTCAAATGCAGGTTTAACCCAGACACACTAAAGGATGGGTCAAATGCAGGTTTAACTTGGAGCCACTGGTTGAAGGGTGGGTCAAATGCAGTGGACACATTTCTCTACAGGGATAATGAAGGATGGTCAAATGCAGGTTTAACCCAGACACACATAAGGATGGGTCAAATGCAGGTTTAACTTGGAGCCACTGGTTGAAGGGTGGGTCAAATGCAGTGGACACATTTCTCTACAGGGATAATGAAGGATGGTCAAATGCAGGTTTAACCCAGACACACATAAGGATGGGTCAAATGCAGATTTAATCCAGACACGCTGAAGAACGGGACAAATGCAGGTTTAACCCAGACACACTAAAGGATGGGTCAAATGCAAGATTAACTCTGAGCCACTGGTTGAAGGGTGGGTCAAATGCAGTGGACACATTTCTCTACAGGGATAATGAAGGGTGGGTCAAATGCAGGTCTAACCCAGACGCACTGGTTGAAGGTGGGTCAAATGCAGGTTTTACCCCCTAGGCACTGGTTGAAGGGTGGGTCAAATGCAGAGGACACGTCTGTCTTCAGGGTGAGTAGAGTGTGGTCTTGTGTGCAGGTGACTGGTGGACCTGCTCTCCGTCAGAGCGGCGCCTCCCAGGACCCAGGATCTGGTCTCGGATCTGATCTGAATGGATCAAACCAAAGTCCAGCCCGAGGGGGGGCTCAACGTCACCCTGACCATCCGCCTCCTCATGCACGGGAAGGTAAACTGTCCCAGATGTCCTCCCGTCCTCCTCTGTCCCTGTGTGTCAGATGTCCTCTTCTGTCTCTGTGTGTCAGATGTCCTCCCGTCCTCTTCTGTCTCTGTGTGTGTCAGATGTCCTCCAGATGTGTGTCTCTGTGTGTCAGATGTCCTCCCGTCCTCCTCTGTCTCTGTGTGTCAGATGTCCTCCCTGTCCTCTCCGTCCTGTCCTGTGTGTCAGATGTCAGATGTGTGTCTCTGTGTGTCAGATGTCCTCCCGTCCTCCTCTGTCCCTGTGTGTCAGATGTCCTCCCGTCCTCCTCTGTCTCTGTGTGTCAGATGTCCTCCGTCCTCCTCTGTCTCTGTGTGTCAGATGTCCTCCCGTCCTCCTCTGTCTCTGTGTGTCAGATGTCCTCCCGTCCTCCTCTGTCCTTGTACTTTTAGTTGTGAAGTTTGTTAAAGTTAAATTCCGCTTTGTTAAATACTTTCGTTTTATTTCCGTCCAAACCTTGGCTGTTAATTTCCACAGCCGTTCTTCATTTCTGCACAGATTCATCGGAATAATTAAAGTTCTTTTCTTTTCTGCAGAATTAAATGTTTCTCAGAGACGCCTCGATAGCGTGAAAAATCTGAATCTGAATGAAAGTGAAATGATTCAGACAGATGCAAACAACTAAATGTGTTCTTGGTCAATTTGGTTCAAAGTTTCCGTTGTGTCTACCTCCGTTTGTCTTTATTATATATTTACTTACTTTGCGTGGGCTCGCCTCTCCACAGATCTGACCTATAACTTGACCTGCTTGTCTCCAAAATGTACCAAATGGTTAAATCAAATTCATTTTCAAACCCTTTTGAAACTCTACCAAAGGTAAAATGTTGAAAGTTCTGGAGGAAAATATATTTGGTTAAAATATTGTTGTTCTTTCTTTGCAGGAGGTTGGGAGCATCATTGGCAAGGTATGTACTTTTAAATGAAAAATTAAAGCTGCACTGTGTAACCTTTCTGTTCACCACCTTTCTGTTTCCATGGAGATGCTATTCCCCCCCAATCCCCCCAACAGAAAAGTTACACACTGCACATTTAATACTTACAACACACAATACATAAGGTTCAGCTCTAGTCAAATGAAGCTCATCGAGGCTGGCAGATATAGTGGCGAATTTTTAGCTGAGTTCCATATTTAAAAATCAGACCACAAGTATTATTATTATTATTATTATTATTATTATTATTATTATTATTATTATTATTATTATTATTTTATGCATTTATTTTGTGAAAGTAAGAGATTTACATTCTTAACCAATGGAACATAAGACATTAGTGAAATCATAATAGAAATAAACACAACAAAAAATGTGCACAAAAAGGAGTGGGAAGAAGAAAACGTATTTAATCCCACCTCCTCTTCTAATTTAAAATGAGCTTTCTTTTGCATTTTTCAGACATTTTACATTGAACTATATGAACTACTTGCAAGTGCAGACAAAGAGTCACTGTTATAGTTCTGAAACATAAACCAACACATACACCAACACATACAGACCAACGGTTGGATGAAGAAAAAGAGGTAGAGCACTTCACTGGGTCTTAACCCTCTCAGGCTCAAATTAAATTTTTGTAACAGGAAAAAATCTGATATTTGGAGAAAATGATCATATGGGGTAGTAATATACAATCCTGACTTTTTTTTTATTTTTTATAATTTGTCAAATTTAAGGGATTGGATACTTAACTAAACATGCATACAGAAAAAAAAGTAATAATAATAATAATAATAATAATAATAATAATAATAATAATAATAATAATAAATAAGTTAATAATAATAATAATAATAATAATAATAATAATAATAATAATAATAATAATAATACGTGTGTGGGGGAAGAGGGTGTGTGTAGTACAGAGTTTCTCAATGCAGTGACACAAACATTGGAGTTGGAGGAAAATTAAAACTGTACCTTGTTGTGCTGTTGCATGACACAAAAAACAAACAGACTGTTGACCTATGGACTGTGACCAAACCCTATTTGGACAAAGCACAGTAAAAAAAGAAAAAGAAAAAGAAGAACAACATACTCTTGGACAATGTCAAAATATATGTGTATGTAAATGTTTGTGTCACTGACTTTTTTTTGAGAGAGAGACCTTCACATCCAGTGTGTTCTGGGATGTTGCAGATTTGCAGCATTGGTCCGGTGTGGTAAATTAACACTGAAGACTGAAAATGATATGAACATAACTTTATGTGTAAACCACTTTTCATAACAATGAAAACATAAAGCTCAGTGTAACAACTTTACAGTGGCAGAACAACATCACTTTTTCATGTGGTACTCCAAGAAACAATTTTTATCCTTTGTAAACAACAAAAGTACTTTGCACTTCTGGCCGTTTGTGTGTAGTTATTCTTACACAGTCTACATCGTCCACGTTTATCAGCATGGATGGGAAAAAAGGCTTCTGAGTAAAAAAAAGCTCATAAAATATGGATTTGGAGTAAGTAGGTAACTGGCATTTAGCTGTTGCAAATCTGCAACGCCTGCCTGGAGAGGATAAAAAGAAAAATAGCAGTACAGGTTTACAAGAGTTAAAACAGTGGTCTTTAAACAGAAAATGACCCTTACTGGAAAATGTAAAAGTGGGTAAGGTACAAACCCGAGGCACTCTGACTGAATATATTAAAAGTCCTTTATTGCATGAAGGGACACCAATGTGAAGATGATACATTTTCCAGTATGGGTAACTTTCTGTTTAAAGACATACATACAAACAATGGGAACAGACAGCAGATACGTGTAATGAACAGCACAAACAGCAATGGGGAGGAAACAACAAACATAAAGCAGCTCTCCAGAACACACTATTGTTCTAATATTATGACCCACTCTCTATAAACTGTGACCTGCTCGATTATGAAAAAAAAAAATCATTATCACGATTATTTTGGTCAATACTGAAATCTGATTTTTTTAGTTACACGATGCATTTATTCAGCATTTCTCTCTCTCATGATTACACAAAACTTTCAAATTGAAAATGAACATATGTGGATAATATGAACCTTAGAGCAGTTTTGTGATGTATAAAAATATAAAATGAATAAAATAAACTTTGACCATGAAATAAGGCAGAAAAACAAACACGGTGCCTGAGTTTCTAGCAGTCATGCCTCACAGCAAGAAGGTTCTGGGTTTGATCCCTGGGTCGCCCGGGCCTTTCTGTGTGGAGTTTGCATGTTTTTCCCTGGATGGGTTTTTAAATAAATAAAAATAAAAACATGTATCCAAAATAAACTATTTATCCAGCTGTTCTACAATCTCTATATTTAAAACATAAAATAAATTTATATAAAATATCCCAAAATAAATTTGTCAAACTTTAGGCGACTCACATTAGCATTTAAGAACTGTGTGGTGCTCAAGTTAGATTGCTGTGGGTTCTATGTTCCTCACTCACACCTGCACAACCGAACCGAGCCATAGCCAATGATGTCAGCAGAACATAAGTCCAGCAGCAGAAACATCCATAGAACAGTGAGACAGATATGACTCCTGTTGCGATACGCTCCTCCTTGAGTTTATGGATATATCAGCACCCTAGCTACACACTACACACAGCGTGTACAGCACCAAGAGTTTGCAGGGGGACCACGTGAATCCTCGCAAAACTATGCTCGTCACGCCAAGGTCCTCACATTCACCGGCACATTCATCGTTTCAACTTGATTATATGAGTTTGGAGATCGTTTGACACACAAATTAAAATCGTGATTGGAATTCAGTTAATTGCACAGTCTTACTGTGACCAAACCATACTTGAATTTATGGATATTTTGGCACTGCTTGAGACGTGTATCCAGACTTTTACTTCACATACAGACAGTGTTGGGAAGTTTACTTTTAAAATGTAATCCTCTACAGATTACAGATTACATACCCCAAAATGTAGTTTGTAACGGAATCCATTAAATTACTTAAAGTGAGTAACGTAATCTGAATACTTTGGATTACTTGATTTGCTGTAGAGAAGCAAAGATGAGGAAATCTTCACATAAGATGTTTTATCTGTTAAAAAAAAAAGAAGAAAAGCCCAGTCTTTACTTAACCGTATTAAAAATATTATTGATAGAAGACGAAGAGACATGTCCATGCAGCATTTAGTCCTGTTAAATCCTCTTTTAGTCCTGTTTTAGTTGTGGTTTTAGACAGGTTTTAGACCTGGTTTAGATCTCGTTTAGATCTAATTTAGACCTGCTTTTAGTCCTGTTTTAGACCTGGTTTAATCCTGGTTTTAGACCTGGTTTAGGGTTAGGGTTGGGGGGGGGGGGGGGTTTCAAAATGTGAAAACAGGAATCACCGTGTCCACCGTAATCCATTTATTTCAACAAAGTAACTGTAATCCAATTACCATTGACTCAAACAGTAACTGTAACTGAATACAGTTACTCATAATTTGTACTCTGATTACGTAACTCCAGTACATGTAATCTGTTACTCCCCAGCACTGCATACAGACACACAGAAACTTTTACAGGAAGTTTGAACATTGGGCAATTTGAAATCTCCACACCCTCTAAAATGATGTGATCTCTCTCATTTTCAACAAGCTTTGCAGAAGACTTGGTAGAAAAGAGTTGAATTCTCATGGAAGAATATTGTCAGGTTTTTTATCACACCCGTTCAAAAAAGACACCAGGGGAACGGGGATTCATGTTGGAGACTGTGGCTCATCGGGGGCAAACCACGATCATATTTTTTGGGATTGCAATGTTCTGAAATGTTATTGGACACAGATTTGGAGTCATATAAACCATGTTTTTGGATCTAAATTGATGTTTAGCTTTGAGTGTTTATACTTGGGAGATGTTCATGTCCAGAATTGGGGAAAAGATGATAAAAAGTTATTAGCAATTCTACTTGTAGCAAGCAAAAAAGCCATTACAAGAAAATGGCTGAGGGCGGATCCTCCATCAATACAGGATAGAGGATAGAAATAGTTTTTGAGATTTATGTGATGGAAAAGCTGTCTTTCACCCTCCAGAACCAAAGGGACTTATTTTATGAAACATGGACGAAATGGACTGAGTATGTGAAACCTGTCAGATCGGACTTGATCTGAAAATGAATAGTGTACACACATCTTGATTGATATTTCATTGAATGATTGTAACGGCACTCTTTTTTGTGTTGTTTTGTATAAATGAAAAATGGAAAAAAAAAAAGAAAAAAAAAGAAAATAGTTGAATTCTCTAAATAAAATTACCAGTGTATGAGACTTTATAAGATCAGGAATCTTTAGGAGCTTGGATTGAATTAAATGATGATCTAAAAATCCAACTTTGTGGATCATTCAATGCTTTAACCCTTACATACTGTTCAGGTCAAATTTGACCCGTTTTGACGTTCAACAGTAGAAAAAATACCCTAAACATCATTCTTTTATCCTGAAATTTGATGACTTTTCCTAAATTTTGCCAAAATACACAAAAATGAAAATATTTTTAAATTTTATACTTTTGTACAGGTGCTACAAATTTTGCGACACTGATGCTGTTTCAGGTCAATTTTGACCCGTATCAATTAAGATGGATTTTAGCTCTATCAGTGCAGGTCAAATGAAGCAAAATGGAAGTTTTAGAGAAACTTGAAACTGTGAAACTGCACAGACCATGTTTGTGTATATTTTTTTAATGGAACAGTGGTGACAGAGTTCAAGAGTTTTGAGATTCCCCCATGCCCCAGGTTCACAGAGACAGACGCCTGTTGGTTTTTGAAGGGGCAAAGGAGAATCTCAAAACAGTGAAAGGAGTGATCATCCTGTTTATGGAGCACAGAAGAAACACAAGTCAATCAAGGGGGAGAGATCTTTTCTTTTAAGTTTGAGTAAGTTCATTCAGGACACCACAGTTGTCTCGTACATGTAAAAGAAGAACAAGAATGTCGTCCTTATGAGCACATTACATATAATAATATGGTTGCAGAGGTGAGCTCCTGGGAGCTCCACCATCATCATCATCATCATCATCATCATCATCCTTGACTACAGTACCAACAAAGGAGGAGTGGAAAACCTTGACAAAGTAACAGGCACAGCTGCAAGAGCAGAACCTCCCGCTGACCCGCTTTGCTGGCCCGCTTTGTCTATGGAGTGAGCTGAACCCAACCTGGACAGGAAGCAAGAGGAACTGGAGGAGGTTCTTTTCTGGAGGAGCTTGGAAAGGCCCTTGTGACTCCCTGTCTGCAAAGATGACACCAGTTTCCCCACACAGCATCTTCAGCATCTTCAGCAGCTTCAGCAGCGTTGGTGAGGCCAGTGCAGTGATCTGAACCTGACCCAGATCAAGAAATCACACCAGAAACCAACACAAGGACACAGAAGAGAAGAAGATACAACTTAAGCCCTGCAAAGAAGGACTTCAAAACAATTACAACCTGCTGCAAATGTAGGAAACACAGATGAAAGTCCCACACACACAAAGTTTCCTATCACTGCTTTGACTGCACTGACTAGATTGAAATAAACAGAATGGCTGCAGTGGAGAAACATGGATATATTATAGATTCCAACAGTTCCAGAATATTCATGTCATTTTCAAATGCAGTAATATATATATATAAATCCTAATGGCTTTTATGTTTTTAGGTGTTTTGTAAAACAGGACATGATATATGTGATAGTAGATGTTTTTCCTCCAAAAACAAGTGTTGTAATACTTACAAAAATATTCTTTTCCTGCTCTCAGAAACATTATATTTATATATTATACTTATTTCTTAATGTGGGACAGTCTATTTAGTCATTTTAAATAGATCTGTAGTTCAAAATTTAGTTTAGACACTTACTATGAGGGAATTCTTGGATCGGGGTCAAATTTGACCCGAACCGTATTGTGTAGGCTTCAGAAATGAACAGTATGTAAGGGTTAACAGTACATTGGTTATCACTGAGTATCATAGCAACTAAAGATCCAATCGGAGTGTGGCTGTTGAAGGTAATGGCTCTAAGAAGGCACCTGATTGGTCTGTTATTGTCCCTTGATTTACGGGCAAAATAGCGAAATAAAAACTGCAGGATCATGTAGAGCGAGTTAATACGAATGTTTTAAAACCAAAATGGCGAGATTCACAGAAACAGTCACAGAGAGAGAGGCCAAGGAGTCCACTGTTGTTCTTGCCTGGACGAATCCAGACTCATCGCTGAGCTGTATAACAAACACAGAGAAATATTCTTCTGGATTTCCAGGCAACCGTTGTTCTAAATTCCCTTTCCTTTTGAGTACTCCGTGTTTTGTGATTTCAGAAAGGAGAAACCGTGAAGAAGATGAGAGAGGAGGTGAGTCTCGTGAGCTCTGACACGGGTAGAACATGCAGAAGTCTGATGAAATGCAGTTTGCATTTCAGAGTGGAGCTCGGATCAACATCTCAGAGGGGAACTGTCCGGAGAGAATCGTCACCATCACCGGCCCCACGGACACCATCTTTAAAGCCTTCGCCATGATCGCGTACAAGTTTGAGGAGGTAAAAGTACTGCGAAGTACAAGAAACTACTGCTAGAATGTGAGGAGGAGGAGAGAGGAGAGAGGAGGAGGGAACACTATGGGAGCTGTTGGTTTCATTATTATTTGTGTTATATTTGGTGATAATCTTTCCTCTGTTTCAGGACATCTTGAACTCGATGAGCAATAGCCCCGCCCCCAAACCCCCGGTGACCCTCAGGCTGGTGGTCCCGGCCAGTCAGTGCGGCTCTCTCATCGGGAAGGGAGGGAGCAAGATCAAAGATATGAGAGAGGTGAGAGAATTGGTCAGTGAAGGTGAGGCTGATCGGACGCAGCGCACAGAATAAAGCCTATCCATTCAGTCTGGAAAAGTCAGTAGAGCTCTGTCTGAAACAATCCACTCCTCAACAACTATTTTAGGGTTATGAAAGCGTTAATTATTATACAGAAACACAGTATAAAGAGACGTGGAGATTCTGTGCACGGAGAAGAAGTGAGGAGCGCTGGGGCTAAACCAGGACTAAACCAGGACTAAACCAGGACTAAACCAGGACTAAACCAGGACTAAACCAGGACTGTTTGTTGGCCGCGCAGGGCTCAGTGCAGCTGTTGCCCTGTCGTGCTTTGCGGACACTCTCTCTCTCGCTCTGTCTCGCTCTCTCTCAAGTCCAAGATTAGTCCTGGTGTAGTCCTGGTTTAGACCTGGTGTAGTCCTGATTTAGACCTGGTGTAGTCCTGATTTAGACCCGGTGTAGTCCTGGTTTAGACCTGGTGTAGTCCTGATTTAGACCTGGTTTAGTCCTGGTTCCGCTACAGATGCATTTTGCTGCTTTGGCTGGTTCGCTCTCTGATTGTCCAATCACGGGTCTGGCGACACCAACTCAAAATCTGATTGGTTGAAGCAACAGTTTCATGGACATTTATTTAGTGTTCAGATTGTGAAGGTCTCAGGGACACTTCTTTGACTCTGACTCTGCCTAGTGACAAGTGACAGCTGAAATGTGATTGGTCAAATGCTTTAATATGAAAATTCATGTGTGGAAGCAGCACAAGCATCAGAAAAGCTCTGAAAGGAAGAAAACAGACCATTTGAAATTATTTAATAATAATATAATTAACATATTTACATTTTTTTATGTTCATAAATATGTCCCTGTCCCTTTATAAATAAATAAAATAAGAAATGAGAAACATCAGTCTGTGCTTCAGATATTTTTTTAGGCCAGCAGAGAAGGACTTGCAGGCCCTGACCTGAAGTCAAACTGCTCCTGTGTCATTGTAAACATCAGTCTCTCTGTGGTGCTGCTGCACTAATCATCAGATATCGGTTAAATAAAACACTAAAAACAAGAAATAGAAGTTTGAGCAGCTCCTCAGCAGCAGACACAGTTGGCACAGGCGACTTTCTATACAGACGCAGGTTAGTTCATTTGAAACCAGTGGTTATTTATCAAAATATACATCTGCACCGGGCGTTTAAATGGAACTCATCAGTTCATTAAAACCGGCTATTATTTTGTATTTTACGGTATGCAACATAACCCATTATCCAGTAAACAGCGCACAAAATTAGACACCAAAATGATACACTTACAAGAGAAATAGGGATTTAATCAATCAAATTTGAGTTATTCAGCACAATAATAATTCAGAAATCCCTTGGCGAGCTACTTGGAAAGGGCTGGAGACCTACTGATAACTCCTGAACTACAGACTCTGGACTGGGTGTGATTGACAGACAGATTAGCCAATCAGGGGCACACATGGTCCAGCTGTAACAAAACAAATGTGGCTTCTTATGAGGAAAAACTGTTCATCTGAGGGGAGAGAAACGTTCAATATTTGTTCAGAATCACAGGTGACCAGTGAGTTCCTTTGTTTCACTTGTGTGTTACACCAGAGGGCTTCAACACTGCAGGAGGGTCATGAAATCTTTGGCTGATTAGACTTTTTTTTTTTTTAAGATGAGGATGAAGTGGTTTTCAGTGATTTCTGTCTGTTCACTCCTTCATCACGTCTGTCTCTCTCTCTTCATTCCCTCGTCTCCTCGTCTCTCTCCCTGTCAAACTGCAAACACGTCAGCCCGGATTTTATCGTTTCTTCTAGACTATATGTGAAGAGTTCTATTACAGCTTTACTTTTATGCACGAGGAACTTAAGCTCCTCATGTACTACCGCACATCTGGACGGATGCGACTGGGAGACGAGGGGAAGTCGTGTCTTTCCTCTCACTCCTCGGATCAGAAAGAAAAAGTTCAGTGTTCCAAATCAAATTCTTGTCCATGTGTGCTGTGGCTCCTCTCTCGTTTAATCAGATCATTAAAAATGTCACACTCTGAGCCTATTTTGCGTGATATCGTGGCTCCATTGCTCTGGTCTTCTCTGAGTCACCACAAGAGCACAAACTTCATCTTAAACTTCAGGTCTGAGTTTAGCTTTGGTCAGACTCAGGCTTATTTCTGTCATGGAACAAGTTGAGGCTTAAACTGGAGATGGAGCTAGTTTCAGCTCAGGATTTTAGGAGAAGTCTGGACTTGTTAAGTGACAGAGCAGCTGTTTATACACGATACCAGTCCTAATTAAATATAAAACACAATTGTATGTCATATTTAAATAGTCGGGGTCAATGCTCCAGCTCTCCCTCGCCTGAAAAACTTTGAAGACCTCGTGTTACAGAAAAAAACAAATCTGATTTGGACGATCATGTTTGGTTCTGATTTGAGATGCGACAGAGGGAGTAGAGACCAGACTGACATCTCTGTGTAAAAAATGAACTTAACACACAAACTAAACTTGTCCTTCATGATACAGGGAGATTCTGAACCCAACTTTGAAACTTTCTTCTTGTCAAAGCTACTCTCCTCCTCTCCTCATCTATCCTCTCCTCCTCTCCTTCTCTCCTCCTCACTCATCTATCCTCTCCTCCTCTCCTTCTCTCCTTCTCTCCTTCTCTCCTCCTCTCCACATCTATCCTCTCCTCCTCTCCTACTCTCCCTCCCTTCCTTCTCTCCTCCTCCTATCTATCCTCTCCTCCTCTCCTCTCTCCTCTCTCCTTCTCTCCTCCTCTCCTCCTCTCCTCCTCTCCTCTCCTTCTCTCCTCCTCTCCTCCTCTCATCTATCCTCCTCCTCTCTCTCTCTCTCTCCTCCTCTCCTCCTCTCTCCTCTCTCTCCTCCTCACTCATTTATCCTCTCCTCCTTTCCTCCTCTCCTTCTCTCCTCCTCTCCACCTTTATCCTCTCTTCCTCTCCTTCTCTCCACCTCTCCTCATCTATCCTCTCCTCCTTTCCTCCTCTCCTTCTCTCCTCCTCTCCTCATCTATCCTCTCCTCTCCTTTCTCCTCTCTCCTTCTCTCCTCCTCTCTCCTCTCCTCCTCTCCTTCTCTCCTCCTCACTCATCTATCCTCTCTTCCTCTCCTTCTCTCCACCTCTCCTCATCTATCCTCTCCTCCTTTCCTCCTCTCCTTCTCTCCTCCTCTCCACCTTTATCCTCTCTTCCTCTCCTTCTCTCCTCATCTATCCTCTCCTTCTCTCCTCCTCTCCTTCTCTCCTCCTCTCCTCTTTTCTCCTGGAAATACTCATAAATGTGTCTGTCTGGAGCTTTGTCAAACTGGGCACATGAAGGAAAAATGAAAAAATATGTTTATGGAGAAAACATCTGAAGGAGAGAAATGCGGGAGGGGTGGAGGGAAAGAGAAAGTAAAAGGGGGGAAGGAGGAGTTGTGAGAAGGAAAGGAAGAGATATGAAAGAGAGGGATGAGGTGAAAAAGTGTAAGAAAGACACGCAGAGGCAGGAGGATCAAAGAGGAGCATTAAATGAGAAATATTCACAAAAACGTGTTTAAACTCCGACACCAAACGCGGGTTTGTGTTTGGGCTTTAGAACTTTATTCAAATCTGTCAAATTTAGAAACTCGCCACGTCTGAAGGTCTCAACCATCAGGACACAACCACCTCCAGCCACAAGAAGAACCGTACTAACAGCAGAAACACAAACAGGAGCAGTAGAAGTAGTAATAGTTGTAGTAGCAGCAGCAGCAGTAGTAGTAGCGCAGTAACAGAAGAAGTAGTAGTAGTTGTAGTAGTAGTAGTAGCAGTAGCAGCATTAGTAACAGTAGTAGTAGTAAGTAGTAGAAGTAGTAGAAGTAGCATAGTAGCAGTAACAATAGTAGTAGTAGTAGTACACAGTAGTACGTAGCAATAGTAGTACTCGTTGTAGTAGCAGCAGTCGCAGTAGGGCCTGGTCAAGCAGAAGTAAACAACAAGGCCAAAAATTCAAGTTACTGCATCTGATCTAAAAATGTATTGAACAGATACATATGTACTCTAGTTTATGAAACTGTTGACCTTTTTTCTGTTCCATTTTTGGTTCTAAAGTTCCATATGTTTTAAACAGACCATGTATGAAACATGGAACAAAAATTATTTCCCAAATTCCAAAGACCTGAAAATCATGTCAATAAATGGATGTATTTCATCATATCTTGTGTTATTCCATCTTTGAACTGTTGATGAAGGGACAGGATTTTTGAAAAAAAAAAAAAAAAAGTATTTAAAATGATAAAAATTTGCTTGGAAGGACTGACATATTTTATAGAAAGAGTTTCCTTTCATTTTGAAGTAATATTAACTCTTTCCCCCATGAAGACGACATTTGACGACCCTCCCTTGTTTCCTTAATGACGTCTTTTGACACCTCTGCTGTATCACTAAAGACATGATTTAATGACCATTACAAATGGCTCGGTTTTTCACATGTAATCAGAGGCTGTGATAAGTGGGGGCCACTACAACCATACATACTAATATATGTATGGATTGTTCCAAGTAGGCGTCCAAGGGGGAAAGAGTTAAAGTATTTGGAAGAAAAAAGCTGACAAATAATGTAAAATCCTGCACCTTCTACTTGCTTGCACAATTTTCCCTCCGTTACTTAATAAGAAAATAATAAATAAAAAATCTCATGAGTCAAAAAGTAAGAGGTTTTTCAACCTAATCTTGTACCATATGGTAGAAAACTATATGAAGCAAATATTCAAACCAGTTTGTTAAGGATATGGAAGTGAGAACCAAGAGTTATCACTGTTTGGATTTATTGCCAAAAAGTGCTGCATATTTCATTCCCTCCATTAGTTTTTAAATTTTTTGTCTTGAACTTGAAAGAATCTCACAGGTTTAACTTGACCCTGTTGGAGTGTAACTCTTTCCTACATTCTGATACTTTACTTTATTTCAATAGTTCCTCTAGTTTCTGAATAAGAGACATTTGAATGTCAAAAATCTGCCCCTGTTTCCCTCCGTTACCACTTGACCGAACCCAGTAGCATAAGTATTAGTATTAGTAGTTGTAGTAGTAGCAGTACCAATAGTAGTAGTAGTAGTAGTAGTAGCAGCAGTAGTAGTAGTAGTAGTAGTAGTAGTAGTAGTAGTAGTAGTCAGTAGTAGCAGTAGTAGCAGTCAGTAGTAGCAGTCAGTAGTAGTAGTAGCAGTAGTAGTAGTAGTAGTAGTAGCAGTAGTAGTAGTAGTAGTAGTAGTAGTAGTAGTAGTAGCAGTAGTAGTAGTAGTAGTAGTAGCAGTAGTAGTAGTAGTAGCAGTAGTAGTAGTAGTAGTAGTAGCAGTAGTAGTAGTAGTAGTAGTAGTAGTAGTAGTAGTAGTAGTACAGTAGTAGTAGTAGCAGTAGTAGTAGTAGTAGTAGTAGTAGTAGTAGTAGTACATGTAGTAGTAGTAGTAGTAGCAGTAGTAGTAGTAGCAGTAGTAGTAGTAGTAGTAGCAGTAGTAGTAGTAGTAGTAGTAGTAGTAGTAGTAGTAGTAGTAGCAGTAGTAGTAGTAGCAGTAGTAGTAGTAGTAGTAGTAGTAGTAGTAGTAGCAGTAGTAGTAGTAGTAGTAGTAGTAGTAGTAGTAGTAGTAGTAGTAGTAGTAGTAGTAGTAGTAGTAGTAGTAGTAGTAGTAGTAGTAGTAGTACAGTAGTAGTAGTAGTAGTAGTAGTAGTAGTAGTAGTAGTAGTAGCAGTAGTAGTAGTAGTAGCAGTAGTAGCAGTAGTAGTAGTAGTAGTAGTAGTAGCAGTAGTAGTAGTAGTAGTAGTAGTAGTAGTAGTAGTAGTAGCAGTAGTACAGTAGTAGTAGTAGTAGCAGTAGTAGTAGTAGCAGTAGTAGTAGTAGTAGCAGTAGTAGTAGTAGTCAGTAGCAGTAGTAGTAGTAGTAGCAGTAGTAGTAGCAGTAGTAGTAGTAGTAGTAGTAGCAGTAGTAGTAGTAGTAGCAGCAGTAGTAGTAGTAGCAGTAGCCAGTAGCAGTAAGTAGTAGTAGCAGTAGACCATCAGTAGTAGTCAGTAGTAGTAGTACAGTAGCCTAGAGGCAGCAGTAGCAGTCCAGTAGTAGTAGCAGCCAGATCTAGCAGTCGTCATGTTAGAGGTGAGTTACAACAATACAGCAACATGTTAGCTTTACTGTTAAACATATGACCAGTGTGCGCCAGATCTGCGTCGTTATTCTAGAGGTAAGCTCTAAGAATAGTAGTTGTAAAGATTAGTAGTACTAGTAGTAGTAGTAAAAGTAGTTATAGTAGTAGCAGCAGCAGTAGTAGTAGTAGTAGTAGTAGTAGTAGTAGTAGTAGTAGTAGTAGGGTGACCATATTTCCATTTGTGAAAACCCGGAAACCTTATCGGCGGTGGGAGGTGAGGCCTCGACATTGAGCTACTCTCACCTCGCAAACTGGGACAGAAAACAGAGAATTTCTTGTACAAGTCATTATTAAATGTGCATTTGTGCTTCAGCATATTTCAGAATGACCGTCTGTTTCTGTCTGCTCGCTCCTTCTGAGTCACAGACGCTACGAGAGACGCTCAGTTTAAAGGCCCCAATGAAAGAAAATGAAAACCCAGACATTTGGATCACTTAAAAAAAAAAAAAAAAAAAAAAACAGGACGCCAGGTAGGATGCAAAAAACTGACATGTCCGGGGAAAAATGGATGTTTGGTCACCCTAAGTAGTAGCAGCAGTAGTAGTAGTAGTAGTAGTAGTAGTAGTAGTAGTAGTAGTAGTAGTAGTAGTAGTAGTAGTAGCAGTAGTAGTAGTAGTAGTAGTAGTTGTAATTGCAATAGCAGTAGCAACAATAGCAATAGCAGTAGTAGTAGAATTAGTATTAGTAGTAGTATTACTAATACTACTAATACTAGTAATACTAGTACTACTAGAGGTAAGGTTAAAGAATACAACAACATGTTAACTTGAGGAACTGTGGAACTATGATCAGTGTGTACACCAGATCTGTGTCGTCATGCTAGAGGTAACCAGATGCACTAGTCTACTGAACATTTTCTGGTTCAGGTTCTGCCAAATTTTTGTCTCCATGGAGATGTTATTGCTTTGTCAGTAATGTTCCACAGTATAGACGTCTCTAGCCTGTATTTATTTAATTTCATGTGTTTCTGTTGCTCAAAAAATACCTGGAAACACACATGCTTACTGTGAGCGGGGCCGACTCTCCACTGATTTGACCTGTAACTTCAGCCTGCTTGTCTCCATGGAGATGAATAAGTTTAATGCCATATAGTGGAACATTCGTAATAACATATTCAGGAAAGTTACACAATGCATCACAATGTTAGGACTGGCCAAAACAGGATTTAATCTATTTTACTTTTAAAGGGGTGACTAAAGATGTCTGCTTCTTCAGAAGGTCCACATTCATCTGTGATTGGTTAAATCCTGTCCTGCACTCAAGTACGACAGAGGCTGACCAATAGGAGGAGGAGGGGCGGGGAAAGTAGTGCCTATCTTTCAGATTATAGCTTATAGCTTGAAAAGTGTCGTATAACTAAACTCATTTTTAATAATAATAAAATGGGTTTGATTGAACTTCTCATCGAAATATCAATATATTGTATTGTTTAATGTGATGATACAGTATCAGTATCATGGGCTGCTGTATCAATATATCACCAAGAGTATTTTTGGTATATTTGACTAAATTATTGCCTGTTTAGAGGAAGGAAACTTGTTTATTCGTTTATTAATTTTCACAGTTCTGATTAAAATGTTTTGTTTCATATTCACTTTGCACAGGAAATGGTTTAACAAAGACTTTTAGAATCACAGCCATGATTTAGCCTTTACATTTTATTGAACCGTATCTAATCACTTTGTAATATATCACATTGAACCAAAAGTGCACATGAGTTATTAATGAAGACATGAATGTATTTCATTCTTGACTTTTTGTGATTTCAGAGTCAAATTCTAATCTCTTTGTTTATTTAGTTTAGTTTAATTTATTTATGAAGCAGAGGAGAGGGTCAGAGGAGCAGGAGAGAGGGTCAGAGGAGCAGGAGAGGGTCAGAGGAGCAGGAGAGAGGGTCAGAGGAGCTGAGTTAATTTTTTGTTGTTTTTTTTTGTTTTTTTCCACAGTCTCCGCCTAAAGGTGCGACCATCCCCTATCGACCCAAACCAGCCTCTACTCCTCTCATCTTCTCTGGAGGACAGGTAAGAAAGAACTACTTTTTCAACACATACAGATACAAGAGAACTGAGTAACTTTTGTTTTTGGTGGAACCTAACCAGCTGCAAGTGATCATAAAGATGGTACTGCTTTGCCTGAAATGTTCCCCAGTAAGGCATTAAACATGTATTTCATCACGGGTCTATTGCTTAACCACTGCGGAACATTTTAGACAATCAATAGCATCTCCATGGAGACAAGCAGGTGGCACACTCTCCACCCGAAAAGTTACGTCTTTAATGAAGATGTTGAATTTGTCTCTCTTTTCCATTTTCAGGCCTACACGATTCAGGGACAATACGCCATCCCACACCCAGATGTAAGTTTCAAATGATTTCTCTCATCTAAATGTGAAGTCCAAGTCCTTTCAATCAGACAGTAGTAGTAGTAGCAGATAGTGCTTGTGTCTCCTCTGTAAGTTAATAATCTCTCACAACGTGGATCATTCTGTTATAATTTGGACTATTTAAAGGATGTATAGAAGATTTTCCAAGGAAAGAGAAATGCAGCGACTGTCCTTTTTTAAATGTTGCGCTTCGCTCCTTTTGCCCTTCTCTTCTTCTTCCAGCGACATTAAAAACAGACTTTCTTTTTGAATTCTTGTGTTCCATTAAAACAAAATTTGTGCAAACTGAGAGGAAGCTACAGTTCGAAAAAGATGCCAAGAACCACTGTGTTGGTTGAGTAAACGGCATCAGTGCATGAGAGGTGAACATAAACCACTCAATCCCAGCGCGTCGGCAAGTCGGCGATGCTAGAAACATAGAGAGTTTGATTGACAACCTAACAGCCAATAGATAAAGAGGTAGCCTCGTAAACTATTGGCTGATGTTTATCTGCCCCCACCACGTCCACAGTTGATGGATTTTCATTCTTTTTTTTTTTTTTTTTTTTTTTGGTCATCATAATTACAAGGCTGCTGCATCTCTAATAGTTCTATTTTGAACTTTCATTGACAATTTGAAACAAAAAAAAAAATCCTCCATACAACCTTTAATTTGCAATATGGATCTTAAACAACTTAATAAAAGAAGCAAGTGCGTTGTGGAGTCCAGCAGAGCATTTTTTCTCATTTATACAAAAATGATACACAATCCTGCTGAATTAGGGTGACCAGACGTCCCTATTTACCTGAGACAGTCCCAGTTTTGAGCCTGTGTCCCCTGTCCCTGCAGATTTATACAAAACCAGGGATTTGTCCCAATTTTACACAAGAAATGTCCCTACTTTTGACAAATTTTATCGCTGCCAACAGTAAAGAGGCAGGCATGTCATTGTGAGGAATGCTGTCACGAAGGTCTCGAAAATCAAAAATAAAGGTTGACTACTTCGCGGATTTCACCTATTGCGGGTTATTTTTAGAAGGTAAATGAGGGAACACTGTACTCTCACCTCCCAACCTGTGCACATGGCCTCTCACTTGTCCCAACCAGGATGGAAAACGGAGAATTTCTTGTCCAAGTCATCGTTAAATGCGCATTTGTGCTTTGGTATGTTGCAGACTGATGGACTGTTTGTGTCTCGCTCCTTCTGAGTCACAGACGCTACGAGAGACGCTCAGTTTAATGCCCCCAATGAACAGTACTGAAAACCCGGACGTTTGCATCACTTTAAAAAAAAATTAAAAAACCCGGACGCCCAGGACAGGACGCAAAATACGGACATGTCCAGGGAAAAACGGACGTTTGGTCACCCTAAAATAATGACCTAATTATGCTGAAGTGTAAAGCTAAAACCAAGAAAACAAACCTAATACCTAATACCTCTCCTTTAATGTCTGACCCTTAAATAATAAAATATGATTAAAAAATACATACACTATTCCACCTCTCTCGCATCAGGTCTGTGCTGTTCCATCATGTCTCTTTATGCAGCAGACGGCCTCATGTCCGGGGCCTCTCCTGTTTACTCTCTGAGCTTCTGCTGCTGTTTGCTAACCCAGAGCTAGCTTTGATGGATGTTAGCCACATTTGCGGTTGTTGGTTCAATCGCTCAGGCATAAGGACGACCAAGGCCACAATTTATGACACGTTTCATATGAATTCCATCAGCATGTTTCAGTCAATACAAGGCAGAGCTCAGGGTCTCATTTGGTCGCAGACTTACACACAGACTCTGAGGGGAAAATATAAAACAAAATGTAAACCTTATACACATAAACTCTATAATAGGATGACCAAATGTCTGTTTTTTCCCGGACATGTCCATATTTTGTGTCCTGTCCTGGGCGTCTGAGGTTTTTTTTTTTTTTTTTTTTTAAGTGTCCAGGTAAATGTCCAGGTTTTCATTACTGTTCATTGGGGCATTAAACTGAGCGTCTCTTGTAGCGTCTGTGACTCAGAAGGAACAAGACACAAACAGTCGGTCAGTCTGTAACATACCGAAACACAAATGCACATTTAACAATGACTTGGACAAGAAATTCTCAGTTTTCCGGCCTGGTCGATACAAGTGGGAGGCCATGTGCACAGGTTGTGAAGTGTGGTCCCTCATTTATCGTGGGGGTTACGTTCTAAAAAATAACCCACGATAGGTGAAATCCACAAAGTAGTCAACTTTATTTTTTACAATTATTATATCTGTTTTAAGGCTGTAAAACTCTTCAGCACAAACTTTATAGACTTTTTCAGAGGTGCAACCCTTTTAGCATGTTTCTTAAAACTTATTGCTGCTGTTGTCCTTTTGTTATTTTCCTCCTTCTTTATGTAACAAACTGAAGATTCATTTATTCTGTAATGGAGCCGACAGTGCAGAGCCCTGCACGGGTACATTTTTGGAGACCTGCAGTACAACACCGCACCCGCCCGTTAACCCGAGATTATATCAAACCTTTGCGCTGCCTACGCCATGGACTGAACTAAGACTAAACCAGGACTAAACCAGGACTGAAACAGGACTCACTGTCGGGGTGGGCTCGGAGGTGAGAGAAAGGAGAAAGGACTGATGCAGAGCTCCGCACCTCACCGAGGTAAACGCAGCAATTGCCTGATAACGCTTTGCGGACAAACTGCTCGGCGTTCTCTCTCTTAAGTCCAAGATTAGTCCTGGTTTAGACCTGGTTTAGTCCTGACCCACCCGTGTGTTAAAAAAACCCAAAAAAAAACATGCAAAATTGACACAATAAAAGAAAAAGAAAAAAAAAAAATCTGCGAAAGGTGAACCGCGATATAGCGAGGGACGACTGTAGCTCAATGTCGAGGCCCCACCTCCCACCCCTGGTAAGGTGTCGGGGGTTTTCACAATTGGAAATATGGTCACCCAACTCTATAAAGAAGTGGACTAAGCGAGTGTGACGTCACCCACAGCGTTCAACTCCAAATGAAACTCACTGAAGCCAGCGGTTATAGTAGGGTGACCAGATTTTCAAAATTCTAAACTGGGACACACCCGGGTTGGGATGGTTGATATAAATAAAATTGTGCAAACATTGTGGATTCTCGCGTCACTTGTAATCTGAGGGGCTTCTGATGCTGCAGTTTTTAACTTTATTGTCATTTGCACAACACGGTTTTGTGTATTTTGGCTAAACTAATGATAAATTATGCCCCTCTTTACTGTTGGTTAGGATCTGATTAGTCAAAAACTGTGATAGTCCTGTTTTAGTCCTGGTTTAGTCTTAGTTTAGTCCTGGTTTAGATTAAATTAGTTAAAATATGGACACTTGGGACATTTCTTGTACAAAACTGGGACAAATCACTAGTTTTGTATAAATCTGCTGGGACAGAGGACACAGGACTCAAACCTGGGACTGTCCCAGGTCAATAGGGACGTCTGGACACTCTAATTTAAAGGGGCAAATTTGTTCATATCAGACAAAAGTGTTGAATAAAATCCTAGGATCATCTAGAGCAGGTTAATACGAACATTTTTTAGACCAAAACGACGAGGCTCACTGCAGAGAGCGGCCTTGGTTTTTCAATAGAATATAAACTGGAGCCAGAGTCGATGGAGCCAGAAGCGTGCCCATGCTCACGTCCTGTTTAGAATGCAGCGGCTCACTCTCCTTATGCATTCTGAGCCTTCTAATTACTTACAATGATATGTTTATGACAACTCTCTGAGGCCAGGGCAGTAAAACTAACAACAACTAGCATGCAAACCTCACATTTTCTGATTCTCTGACACTAAAACATTTTATAAAGACCTCAACAGTTGCTTATACACTATATCTGTACTGTTATTTAGAAGTATTTTTTGCCATTTCACATTTTTGACACAGTTTGACGTGTTAAATATTGCAGTTTAGTTTATTTACTCTGAACATTATGGATTCAAATGCTGGAAAATGTTTCTTAAATAATTCAGCTCAGATGTTTCTCATTTCGTCTTCTCAGATTCTGGAGTTTTTCTGGGTAGTTTTGATCTCAGCAGGTGGAGCTTGGTGTGAAATCAAAAATAACTTGCTGAAACAGAGTGAAATGTGTGAATTTTAAAGCCATTTCTGACGATTCATGAAGCTTTGAGGATCAATCTGAGAAGATGTTAGAGCACAAAATGACAGCGATTTGAATATAAAACTCTCCATTTTGGTTAAACTTTACAATTGTGCTTTGAGATATTTTAGCCCAAAATCACCCTCTCCATTCCGTGTCCATAATAAACTGGGAATGTGATTTAAATTCAAAATGGAGGACAGTCAAATGCAGATGTGTTGACTTGGTTTATGGGTCACTGTAATTACTGCAGCTGTCCACATGAAACAAAAAAAGACACAGTTCAGTCTCTTCTCTGTCTGCAAATGGAGTTGATTTTGAAATATGAATGTAATATTTGGGAGCAAATGTTAAATGACACAAATCAGGTAAGTAGGAGATACTATGTCTGTGTCTTGTTCCCTGACATTGCAAACAGGAGGGAGATTTTGATATCTGGGCCAGTTATGTAGCATGGATTGTTGTCACCTCTCAAACAGAGGGACAGTGTGGGTGTGTTCTGTCTACAGGGGAATCACACTCCTCAGGTTTATTCCAGACAGAACATCAGGGGCTGAAGGGGGTCTGGTTTGGGGACCACAGGATCTCATCTCTGCTGATGTTGTCTTGGTGGCTTCATTCAACCAGGACCTCCAACATGGAGCGTGAGATTGACAGGTGGATCAGTGCAGCCTCTGCTGTGATGTGGTCTCTGTATTGGACTGATGTGGTGAAGAAGGAGTCCAGAGGCAAAGCTCTCCATTCAGTCTACATGCCTACTCTCCTGGTTTAGACCTGGTTTAGATCTCTGTTCCTCCCCTCACCTATGGCCTGGAACTTTGGGTAATGACCAGAAGGACAAGATGGTGGATACAAGCGGTTAAATGAGTTTCCACCGCAGGGTGGCTGGGTGCTCTCTTAGAGTGTGGAATGAGGAGCTCAGGCACACTCAGGAAGAGCTTGGAGTAGAGCCACTGCTCCTCCACATAGAGAGAAACAGCTGAGAGGAGGACATCTGTTCTAGATGCCTGAGATGGAGAGCTGGAGGGAGTGTGTGTGGAAAGGGACGTCTGGGCGTCTCTCCATGACCTGCCCTGCATAAGTGGAAGAAATTTGATGGACAGATGGATGAATGGATTCTTGTGAGTGTTTAACCTGTCAGCACCTGTCTCCTCCCCCTCAGCACCTGACTAAACTGCACCAGCTGGCCCTGCAGACTCCTCCCTTTCCCCCCGTGGGACAGACCACCCCCGCCTTCCCTGGTACGTACCCCTGCTCCTGATCCTCCTGTCCTGATAACTAACCTACAAGTCCTACAAACTTCTCCTTGTAACTTACCTGAAGAACCCACCTCCTACACTGTCCTACTAACAAACCACCGACTGTCCAAACTGCTCGACTCCATGGACACCTGACCCCTCACACACACACGACCCCCTCACACACACACGACCCCCTCACACACACACGACCTCCTCACACACACACGACCTCCTCACACACACACACGACCCCCTCACACACACACGACACACCCTCAACACACACACGACCCCCTCACACACACACGACCCCCTCACACACACACGACCCCCTCACACACACGACCTCCTCACACACACACGACCTCCTCACACACACACGACCCCCTCACACACGACCCCCTCACACGCACACGACCCTCACACACACACGACCCCTCACACACACACGACCCCTCACACACACACGACCCCCTCACACACACGACCTCCTCACACACACGACCCCCTCACACACACACGACCCCTCACACCACACGACCCTCACACAACACACGACCCCTCACACACACACGACCCCCTCACACACACACGACCCCCTCACACACACGACCTCCTCACACACACACGACCCCTCACACACACACGACCCCTCACACACACACGACCCCCTCACACGCACACGACCCCCTCACACACGACCCCCTCGCACACACACGACCCCCTCACACACACACGACCCCCTCACACACACGACCCACCACACACATCACACCACACGACCCTCACACACGCACACGACCCCCCTCACACACACGACCTCACACACCACACGACCCTCACACACACACGACCCCCTCACACACACAGACCCCCACACACACGACTCACACACACACGACCCCCCACACACACACACGACCCCCTCACACACACGACCCTCACACACACACGACCCCCTCACACACACACGACCCCCTCACACACACCCCTCACACACACACACCTCCTCACACACACACGACCTCCTCACACACACGACCCCCTCACACACACACGACCCCCTCACACGCACACGACCCCCTCACACACACACGACCCCCTCACACACACACGACCCCTCACACACACGACCCCTCACACACGCACACGACCCCCTCACACACACACGACCCTCTCACACACACACGACCCCCTCACACACACACACACGACCCCCTCACACACACACGACCTCCTCACACACACACGACCCCCTCGCACACACACGACCCCCTCACACACACGACCCCTCGCACGCACACGACCCCTCACACACACACGACCCCCTCGCACACACACGACCCCCTCACACACACACGACCCCCTCACACACACACGACCCCTCACACACACACGACCCCTCACACACCACCTCACACACACACGACCCCCTCACACACACACGACCCCTCACACACACGACCCCCTCACACACACACGACCCCCTCACACACACACACAGACCCCACCTCACACACACACAACCCCTCACACACGACACGACCTCCTCACACACACACACACCACCTCACACACACACGACCCCTCACACACACACGTCCCCTCACACACACACACCCCTCACACACACACGACCCCCTCACACACACACGACCTCCTCACACACACACGACCCCCTCACACACACACGACCTCCTCACACACACACGACCCCCTCACACACACGACCTCCTCACACACACGACCCTCACACACGCACACACGACCCCCTCACACACACACGACCCCCTCACACACGCACACGACCCCCCACATCACACACCCCTCACACACACACGACCTCCTCACACACACACACACGACCCCCTCACACACACACGACCCCCTCACACACACACGACCCCCTCACACACACACGACCTCCTCACACACACACGACCCCCTCACACACACACGACCTCCTCACACACACGACCCTCCTCACACACACACACCCCTCACACACACACGACCTTCCTCACACACACACGACCCCCTCACACACACGACCCCTCACACACACACGACCTCCTCACACACACACACACGACCTCCTCACACACACACACGACCTCCTCACACACACACGACCTCCTCACACACACACACGACCTCCTCACACACACACACACACACGACCTCACACACCACTCACACACACACGACCCCCTCACACACACACGACCTCCTCACACACACACGACCCCCTCACACACACACACACGACCCCCTCCTCACCACACACACGACACCCCTCACACACACACGACCCCCTCGCACACACACGACCCCCTCACACACACACGACCTCCTCACACACACACGACCTCCTCACACACACACGACCCCCTCACTCACACACGACCCCCTCACACACACACCTGCCGCCTTTTCTACTTTTTGCTTCCATTTCCTTTGTAGTTGCTGACACTTTGACTTTCACACCGCACTGTAATAAAAAAAAAATAAAATAAGCTCAAAGCGTTGGAGCTGTTTGTTCAAATGCAGAAGACTGTGCTTGTGCTTTTGAGCGAGACACTTCCTGCCTCCCGTGTGCCCAGCCCATGTGTGAGTGCAGAGGGGTGTGGATCTCTTTAGCTTCCTCTGGTCCTCTAGGTCTAATGCCTATTCTTTTAGAAGATCAAATTTTGTGACTTTCAACAAATTGGCTCTTTTTACTCATGGACCAATACTAATATATTGAACAGTGTTTTTACGTAGACTTCCACCTCTGTTCAAAGTTGTGGTAAAAACATGATTAATGCAGAATATAAAAGAGTTTATTCTGCAAATGTACAAAAGTAGAACCCGTCTCACTGTGAAACATTCAACTTTATTCTTGTGCTGCTGTTAAAGTTTCCTCAGTATTAATAATAAAGGGTTACTTAAACACGTGTGAATGAAACAAAACACAACTCCAGGTCAGTTTTTAAGGAGGAAACAACATCATAACACGACTTAAAGCTCACAGAGGTCGGTTTTGAGGAGCTCAGACTTTGGCGATGTTCTGGACGTTGGATTAAACTCTGTGATCTGGAGGCTCTTCCCCACCGAGGCGAGGGTCTCTGCTCAGTTCTGATGTTTCTCCTGTGTTCAGGTTTGGAGAGTCCAGCCAGCACCCACGAGCTCTCCATCCCCAACGACGTGAGTCTGCTCCCACTTATGTTATTTCTGTATTTATGTTCCAAAGAATGCTGCGTGTGTGAGTGATATGAAACCACGACCTCTTGCTGGGGGTGTTCTACAGTATGTGTATGGTGGAAGGTTCGCCTGTTTCCATGGAGACTCGATGCACGTATTACAAACACAGCCAGTTTTAAGATTTAAACTCAAGAAAAAAAGGGAAAAACTGTCACAGCAAAAACAAACTACTTCCACTTTCCATTCTGTCGTTTAAAGCGAATCTGAGCTAAAATCCCAATGATCCTGGTGTTTTTATTTGACTGTTTTGTCCATTAATAAATTTCTATTCCAAAAAATATGGAACTTGGCTGCAAGTTTGTGATTGTAACTGCTAGAATTTGTGTATCATTTGTACATTCGTTTTTTAAAATAAAACCAGAAATAAGAAAACGATTATTTGTCTCCAAAACTAAAAGGAGTTTTTCAGTTTTCGATTTTGTGTTTAAATGAATAATGGGAAAACAAAACAAATAATGGCCTTTTCCTGTTTCTCTGACTGAAACTACAATGCCGGACTGAACCAGGACTGAACCGGGACTAAATCAGTCTTGGTTTAGTCCTGGTTTAGACCTGGTTTAGTCCTGTTTCAGTTCTGGTTTAGTCCTGGTTTAGTCCTGGTTTAGACCTGGTTTAGTCCTAGTTTAGACCTAGTTTAGACCTATTTTAGTCCTGATTCAGTTCTGGTTCAGTCCTGGTTTAGTTCTGGTTCAGTTCTGGTTTAGTCCTGGTTTAGTCCTGGTTCAGTTCTGGTTCAGTCCTGGTTTAGTCCTGGTTCAGTTCTGGTTCAGTCCATTCTTCATTTAAACACAAAATCGAAAACTGAAAAATCTAGTCATTGTCTATTTTTTCCTTTTGATTTTGGAGACAAATGATGAAGAAAATAGTTGGTTTGTTGTTTTCTTATTTTTGGTTTTATTTTGAAAAACAAATGAACGAATGATCCACGGATTTGCTCACCTCAGTGAGTTTCATTTGACTGGAGTTGACGTCTCACTCCGTTAGTCCTCTTCTGTATTCAGACTATGGTTGTGCCTCAGTCTCTCAGTCGAATGCTGAGGAGTATTTTTCAAATAAACTCTGTCAGCACAGATGCTCTGTTGGCAGTCGCAGTTACAAGTAGCAATTTATTTGAATTATTAAATGAAAAATAAAATGGTAGATTTGGTCTGATGATGATTTTTACTGTATAATTTCCACATAAATCCCCCTGTTTTTCTCGTCGTTCATACATCATGAATATGGAAATGTGACGATTGTCTGGAGCTCAGTCCCTCTTTAATCACTCCAAACCGTGTTCTCATTTTCTGAGCCATAATCCACTTATATTTGACGTCAGTGCTCCCTTATGCTCTCAAACATTACTATTCTAACACAAGTCTAAATACTAAAAATACAGGAACTGTTATCTGACATTTCTGTCTCCATGGAGATATTATTTTCTATTTCCCTGAAATGTCCCACAGTGTGGCATTAAAGGTATCTTGGATTATTCATTTACAGGTGTTTTTACGGCTCAAAAATACTTTGATAAACATGCATTCTTACTAAAGGTGAAGTATAGTTCTGCATCGACTCAGCACACACTGCTGCCATCACCTTGTCGCTGTTGTTTTTGATTTATGGATCTGTGTCAGGGTCTATGTGCCACGAAGTAATTTACTGCCACAACGAGGGGGCACTGAGTTGTGAAATCGCATGAAGTCGTTGGTGGAGTGTTTATGTGCTGGTTACTGTGGAGACACCGGTCATGTAACGATGGCCACTGAGCGGGAGAGGACGCTGATGGAGTTGGAGCTGATAAATATTGTGGAACAAATGCATCTGATACAAATGTACAATGTGTAATGTACACATGTAAATGGTGTTTATGTTTACAAAATGAACCAGGCAAAGTGGAGTGAAATGTATGTGGAGTGGAAGTAGAGAGGACCAATCACAGCCCTTATTGTCTGTGTCACTTCCTTCTATTATCTGCGTTGTTTTGACACATAGTTACACAATTTCACACAGGACAGAAAATTGGGCTCTCCTCTCCACAGATCTGATGGTAGATATGCTTAGGCTACATCCACATGACAACACTCCTGGATTTTTTTCTTTGCGAGCTGCAAAAATTCTGCGTCCACAAACGTACTGGATCAGAAAATATTCATGTTAGACAACAACGGAGCACTGAGTGAAAACGATGTAATACATCTGTCACATCTGTATGTGGCGCTGTTAACAATGATAATAATATTTAATAATGCAGATCTCATCACCGTTTTTTAAACTTTAAGGTAATTTATCCAATTTTAGATGTATCTTAGAAATATAACTGTTTTGTTTTGCAAAAGTTAAACATAAATCACAGAAAGAACTCGTATACTCCACTGAGTCGTGTCCTTTAGTCCGACAGAAGCTGAACCGCATCAGCGACACAATATCGAGCTGTTTTTGATCACTTAGTTTATGCAAATGAGTCATGAGGTTTTAAGTTCTGTTTCTATAAAACGTAAACAAATATGCATAAAACTGTATGGATAGGGAAGACTTGTGTGTGGATGCAGATCGTTTCTGATACGGTGATACGTGGATTCGTTTCAGTGTAAACATAGTGTCTGTTATTGATCCGTGTGTGTAATCTGCGATGCATGTTGTTAGCATTAGCACTAACAGCATGTCTTGGTTGCTGGGCGACGGGAGCGGCTCTGTAGACTACACTTGTCACATTTCTGCAAAGGTCTTGTAGTCTGTGAAGGCTACAGCCTTCACTGTATCGGAAGACCCTGGTGATGACGGGATCGTGGCGTTATCGTTTTCCAAAAGTTGCGGTTTGCTTGTCCACACAACAACACAACGCTGGCGCTCTCAGATTTCTCCACTCTGGAACCCATTCTCAAAAAATTCAGTTTTCTCCCACCAGAAACTCCGGCTCCGTGTGGACGAAAGACCAAAATGAATACAAACTTCTCTGTTTTGACCAAAAAAGGTTGTCATGTGGATGTAGCCTTACTTGATGGAACAGTTTAATGCCATACTGTGGAACATTTCAGGCAAAGCAATAACATCTCCATGGAGACAAGCAGGTGGCTTAACCTTTACCAGAAATGTTACACAGTTAGATTTGTTTAAAGGAGATCAAGATGACAAGATGATGAGGGAACATCATCCTGAGCTTACACACAGTTGTATTGTTTTTTATTGTATTAATAAGTTAATGTCGGTGGGTTTTAAAATGTCACATGGCCAGTGTTCTGTATATAAAGTGTTGTGTGTGGGAGCTCTGTGTGTTGTGATGTTGTTGTGATGATGTAAGCTCATTAGGGTCAGGGGTCAGCACAGAGACGGAGCTGCATATTTAAACAGGAAGTCGACGCACACGGTTCTGTTATTCATAGAACATTCCTTCATTCATATTCATTCAGTTCAACAGTGTTTAGGATGAGGCTGTACGATTATAATACAGCAGTGTTTCAAAAGTCAGATTCTGTGCACATTTTAAACATCTCCAGGAGCGTTCACATCTGAAACAAACCTGAACTTTAAATGTTTTATTTTATACAAACTGACACACTGGGAGGGCATCTGACACACAGAGACATTTGTGTACGATAAAAAAAAGAGAATGTCTTGTTTAAATCGTGCGTGTCGCCCCCTGCAGTTGATCGGGTGCATCATCGGGCGTCAGGGCTCAAAGATCAACGAGATCCGTCAGATGTCCGGAGCCCAGATCAAAATCGCCAACGCTCTGGAAGGTTCCACTGAGAGACAGATCACCATCACCGGGAGTCCGGCCAACATCAGCCTCGCCCAGTACCTCATCAACGCAAGGTACACAAGAGGAGAGGAGGAGAGGAGGAGAGGAGGAGAGGAGGAGAGGAGGAGCAGAGGAGGAGAGAGAGGAGAGGAGGAGCAGAGGAGGTGAGGAGGAGGGTAGAGGAGGGAGGAGGAGGAGGTGAGGAGGAGGGTAGAGGAGGAGGAATAGAAGAGTAGCGGAGGAGAGGAGGAGCAGAGAGAGAGGAGGGTGTGGACAGAGCAGAGGGAGGGTGTGGGGTGGACATAAATCACCATCACAGAGAGTTCAGTCAACATCAGCCTCTCCCAGTACCTCATCAACACAAGTTACAGAGAAGGGAGGGACAGAAAAAGAAACAGACACTTTATTGATCCTGAGCAACATTTCCACTGTGTGTCTTAATGTCCTTTGTGTCTCAGTCAAAGGTCAGTGCAGAGTGCAGTTTAACAGGAGCACTGGTCGTACACAAAGTCATTCAAAGTGCTTTACAGAATAAGAAATACATTCAAATCACAATAAAAACAACACAAATAATCATCATAAAATTAAAGATTAAAATAAAAAAAGAGAGAGATGACTTACATAAATTAGAGAGAAATGTTTTGAGTCTGGATTTAAACAGCGTCACAGAAGAGTCTGTCTCACATGTTCAGACTGTTCCAGGTTTTAGCTGCATGAACCTGAAACTCTGACTCCCCTTGTTTAGTTCTGACTCTGGGCACCAGCAGGAGTTGGTCCCTGAGCTCGTCAGAGTGTGAGATGTTCATATGACACTAACATGTCACAGATGGACTTTGGTGCTCGGCCATGGAGACACTTGTACACATAAAGTCTATTCTCTTCTTTGCCTGCAGCGTTCATTCTTTCTGGGTATTTCCCCTGGAAGGTCTTTGAGTATTTTGGAAACGCATATGATGTAAAAAGCCTGTAGCATCTCAATTGTCCATAGCTTCTTACACCCAGAGTATTCATTTTATTTATTTGAGACAGGAACAACGCACAATTCTGACATTAACCTTAACAGGACAGATGCTTGTACCAGGTTGTAACATCAGTGCTCATTTCCACCTGTCATCAATCAATAAACCTGGGCAGGTTCATTGATTGATTGTATTTAACTGACCTTGACTATCAACTGTTCCTGGAGACCTGGAGCATGTTTTGTGTTGATGGGGGAAACTGGAGGAAACCCATCCAGACCCAGGGAGAAACATGCAAACTGGGGAATTGAACACAGAACTTTTTTGCTGTGAGGCATGAGTGCTAACCAAAGTACACTGACTGCAGGTGCAGTTCAGGACACGTGCGGGTCCCACAAGACTTAGGAAGTCATTCAAATCATTTGCACCCTGCCACACTGACCTCTGACCTCTGCCATACTGACCTCAGAGCAGTGCAGGTGCAGGTGCAGGTGCGGGTGCAGGTGCAGGTGCAGGTGCAGGTGCAGGTGCGGGTGCAGGTGCGGGTGCAGGTGCACGTGCAGGTGCAGGTGCGAGTGGGGCGTGGACCTGAGGAAAGAATCCAAAATCACATGAGCAAAACAGGACAGGATGTCAAAAACTGAGCTCAAAAAATAAAATGTTTCAAAAACTGCTCAGTGTATGAGCTGGGTAGCCACAAGAGCAGGAGGGAGGGAGAGTGCAGAGGAGCAGAGAGCAGAGGAGAGGGTCAGAGGAGAAGAGGGGGAGGGTGAAAGGCGGTTTAGAGGATGACCAAATGTAAGAGGAGACGGTCAGATGAAGCAGAGGGAGGGAGTAGAAGAGCAGAGAAGAAGAGGAGTAGAGGAGTAAGAGGAGAAGAGAGAGAGAGGAGCAGAGGAGAAGAGGAGTAGAGGAGAAGAGGAGTAGAGGAGAAGAGGAGAAGAGGAGCAGAGGAGAGAGGAGAAGAGGAGTAGAGGAGAGAGGAGAAGAGGAGGAGGAGTAGAGGAGCAGAGGAGAGAGAGGAGTAGAGGAGCAGAGGAGAGAGAGAGAGAAAGGAGAGAAGAGGAGTAGAGGAGTAGAGGAGAGAGAGGAGAGAGAGGAGAGAGGAAGAGAAGAGGAGAGAGGAGCAGAGGAGAAGAGGAGAGGGAGAGAGGAGTAGAGGAGAGAGGAGCAGAGGAGAAGAGGAGAAGAGGAGAAGAGGAGTAGAGGAGCAGAGGAGCAGAGGAGAAGAGAGAGAAGAGGAGAGAGAGGAGAAGAGGAGTAGAGGAGCAGAGGAGAGAAGAGAGGAGAAGAGAGGAGAAGAGGAGAAGAGGAGTAGAGGAGAAGAGAGGGAGAAGAGGAGTAAGAGGAGAAGAGGAGAAGAGGAGAGAGGAGAAGAGGAGAAGAGGAGAGAGAGGAGGAGAGGAGGAGAAGAGGAGAAGAGGAGAAGAGGAGAAGAGGAGAGAGGAGAAGAGGAGAAGAGGAGAAGAGGAGAAGAGGAGAAGAGGAGAGAGAGAGAGAGAGAGAGCAGAGGAGAGAGGAGGAGGAGAGGAGCAGAGAGGAGTAGAGGAGAGAGGAGAAGAGGAGAAGAGGAGTAGAGGAGTAGAGGAGAAGAGGAGCAGAGGAGAAGAGGAGAAGAGGAGAAGAGGAGAAGAGGAGTAGAGGAGCAGAGGAGAAGAGGAGAAGAGGAGCAGAGGAGAAGAGGAGTAGAGGAGCAGAGGAGAAGAGGAGAAGAGGAGCAGAGGAGAAGAGGAGAAGAGGAGTAGAGGAGAAGAGGAGAAGAGGAGAAGAGGAGAGAGAGGAGAGAGAGGAGTAGAGGAGAAGAGGAGAAGAGGAGAAGAGGAGAGAGAGGAGAGAGGAGAGGAGTAGAGGAGAAGAGGAGAAGAGGAGAGAGAGAGGAGAAGAGGAGAAGAGGAGCAGAGAGAGAGAGAGGAGAAGAGGAGAGAGGAGTAGAGGAGAAGAGGAGAAGAGGAGAAGAGGAGAGAGGAGAGAGCAGAGGAGAAGAGAGAGAAGAGGAGAGAAGAGGAGAAGAGGAGAGAGAGAGAGAGAAGAGGAGAGAGAGAAGAGGAGAAGAGAGAGAGAGAGGAGAGAGAGGAGCAGAGGAGTAGAGGAGAAGAGGAGAGAGGAGAAGAGGAGCAGAGGAGTAGAGGAGAAGAGAGAGAGAGAGAGAAGAGGAGAGAGAGGAGAAGAGGAGAGAGGAGCAGAGGAGAAGAGGAGCAGAGGAGTAGAGGAGAAGAGGAGAGAGGAGAAGAGGAGTAGAGGAGAGAGGAGAGAGGAGAGAGAGAGAGAGAGAGGAGAAGAGGAGAAGAGGAGAGAGAGGAGAGAGAGAGAGAGAGAGTAGAGGAGAAGAGGAGGAGCAGAGGAGAAGAGAGAGAGAGAGAGAAGAGAAGAGAGAGAGAGAGAGGAGAGAGGAGAAGAGGAGAAGAGGAGAAGAGGAGAGAGAGGAGTAGAGGAGAAGAGGAGAGAGAGGAGAGAGGAGAAGAGGAGAGAGAGTAGAGGAGAAGAGGAGAAGAGAAGAGAGTAGAGGAGAAGAGGAGAGAGCAGAGGAGAGAGGAGTAGAGGAGAAGAGGAGAAGAGGAGTAGAGGAGAAGAGGAGAAGAGGAGAGAGGAGAGAGGAGTAGAGGAGAAGCAGAGGAGAAGAGGAGAGAGAGAGTAGAGGAGAGAGGAGAGAGAGAAGAGGAGTAGAGGAGAAGAGGAGCAGAGGAGAAGAGGAGTAGAGGAGAGAGAGAGAGAGAGTAGAGGAGTAGAGGAGAAGAGGAGAGAGAGAGAGGAGAAGAGGAGCAGAGGAGTAGAGGAGAAGAGAGAGAGAGAGGAGAGAGGAGAGGAGAGAGAGGAGAGAGAGGAGAGAGAGAGAGAGAGAGGAGAAGAGGAGAAGAGGAGAGAGGAGAGGAGAGAGGAGTAGAGGAGAAGAGGAGCAGAGGAGAAGAGGAGAGAGGAGTAGAGGAGAAGAGGAGAAGAGGAGAAGAGGAGAGAGGAGAAGAGGAGAAGAGGAGAAGAGGAGAGAGGAGCAGAGAGGAGAAGAGGAGTAGAGGAGAAAGAGGAGAAGAGGAGAGAGGAGAGAGGAGAGAGGAGAAGAGGAGCAGAGGAGAAGAGGAGAGAGGAGAGAGAGAGAGAGAGGAGAAGAGGAGAAGAGGAGAGAGAGGAGGAGAGAGAGGAGAAGAGGAGAAGAGGAGAGAGGAGAGAGGAGAGAGGAGAGGAGGAGAGGAGAGGAGCAGAGGAGAGAGGAGAAGAGGAGTAGAGGAGAGGAGAGGAGAGAGAGGAGGAGAGAGAGGAGAAGAGGAGAAGAGGAGAAGAGGAGAGAGAGGAGTAGAGGAGAAGAGGAGTAGAGGAGAAGAGAGAGGAGAGAGGAGAAGAGGAGAGAGAGAGAGAGAGAGAGAGGAGAGAGGAGAAGAGGAGAAGAGGAGTAAGAGGAGAGAGAGAGAGGAGAAGAGAAGAGAGTAGAGGAGAAGAGGAGCAGAGGAGAAGAGGAGCAGAGAGAAGAGGAGAGAGAGAGAGAGAGAGAGAAGAGGAGAAGAGGAGAAGAGGAGAAGAGGAGAAGAGGAGAAGAGGAGTAGAGGAGAAGAGGAGTAGATCAGTGTGTGACAGAGACTGAAGTGTGTGTGAATCATGTGACTTTTACACACTGTGCAATGTGTTTATGATTCAAGCTGCTACTGTGGCAGAGTGGTTAGCCTCCCTGTCAGTCCTCGGAGGTTGCGGGTTAGACTCCTGATCTGTCCGAGTGCAGCGTGTGGTGATCAGCCCGTCTCCTTTTTTTTCTCCTCTTTTGAGTCGGATTAAACGCGGTTCTTTCCCAAACCGCCGCAGCCACGTCCACCTCTGCTCCTTTAATCCCGTCTCTCTTTGAATTCTTCCGTTTGAAGAGCGATCAGAGCCAAGTTTGTGATGGAGAGAAGGAGGAGGAGGAGGAAGGGAAGAGGTGGAAGTAGAGGAGGAGAGGAAAAGCTGACAGGTGATAAGGAAGGGTCAGTTCAGGAGCGTCTGCAAACATTCAATCCGCGGTGAAATGAAAATAACTGTGAAATGAAATGATCGGATCTGAAATTCAATCTAACGGGAGGAGGCGGAACACTTTTTCTACAAAACTGTTCAGTATTTACATCTGGATTTACATCTTTTTTATTATTATTATGATGATGTCGATGCTTTTCACAGTTTAAGTTTGCTCAGACTTTTGGAGGCGGAGGACACACGCCGGCTTCTCTGCATGGAGAGAATGTTCCGCAGTGCGGTTTTAAACTTATGTTGCAGAATTGGCCCTGTCTCGTCACCTGTGCTCGTCTCCAATGCCAGTTAGTGATGGAGAAGTTTAATGCTGTACTGCGGAACATTCCAGAACATTAAAAACCGAACACACTGGACATACTGATACTCTGAACCCAACACACCTACTGTGAAGAAGGAGCTGGTTCCAAACTCTCTCTCTGGGCTCTCTCTATCTTTCACTCTCTCTCTCTCTCTCTCTCTCTCTCTCTCTCTCTCTCTCTCTATATATATATATATATATATATATATATATATATATATATATGTGTGTGTGTGTGTGTGTGTGTGTGTCTCTCTCTTTATTTCTCTCTGTGTCTTTCTCTCTCTGTCTCTGTGTCTCTATCTCTCTATGTCTCTCTCTCCATCTCTCTCTCTGTGCCTCTCTCTATCTCTCTCTATCTCCCTCTTTCTCTGTGTTGCTTTCTGTCTCTCTCTGTGTCTCTCTCTCTGTGTCTCTCTCTCTATCTCACTATCTGTGTCTCTCTCTAGCTTTGTGTGTGTGTGTGTCTCTCTCTCTTTATTTGTCTCTGTGTCTTTCTCTCTCTGTCTCTCTCCATCTCTCTCTCTCTGTGCCTCTCTCTATCTCTCTCTGTCTCTCTCTATCTCCCTCTCTCTGTGTTGCTTTCTGTCTCACTCTCTGTGTCTCTCTCTTTGCTTTCTTTATCTTTCTCTGCCTCCCTCCATCTCTCTCTGTTGCTCTCAGTCTCTCTCTCTATGTGTCTCTATCTCTCTCCGTGTTGCTCTCTCTCTCTCTCTTTCTCTCCCAGTCTCTCTCTCCCTCCTCTCTCTTTCTCTCTCCCTCCTCTCACCCAGTCTCTCTCTCTCTTCTCTCTCTCTGTGTGCTGATGATGTTTGAGGAGAAGTTCACAGGTCACAAGTGTTAGAATCTGTCAACACAAACGAGCTGTGAAAACTAGTTTAGAAAATCTCTCACTACGTCCACAAATCTGCTCCTGTATTTTATTTATTTTTATTTATTTATTTCAGACAGGGACAGCACACAATTTTTGCATTTTACCTTAACAGGAGAGATGCATTGTACATCAGGTTGTAGCATCAGTGCTAATTTCCACCTGTCGTCCCTGGGCAGGTTCATTGATTGATTGTATTTAACTGACCTTGACTATCAACTGTTCATGGAGACCTGGAGCATGTTTTGGGTTGGCTGTCTGCTCCTGTCTGCTCCTGTCTGCTCCTGTCTACTCCTGTCTGCTCCTCTGTCTGCTCTCCTGTCTGCTCCTGTCTACTGTCTGCTCCTGTCTGCTCCTGTCCTCCTGTCCTGTGCTCCTGTCTGCTCCTGTCTGCTCCTGTCTGCTCCTGTCTGCTCCTGTCTGCTCCTGTCTGCTCCTGCCTGCTCCTGCCTGCTCCTGTCTGCTCCTGTCTGGTCTTCTGCTCTTATAAAAATGACTCAATGAAAAAAAAAAAAAAAAAAAAAAAAAAAAAAAATCCCTAAAATAGTTTCTTTCGCTTCTTTGAAACAAATGTAGTAATACTTTTTCTCTCTCTCCTCCTTTTCCAACCCTCTCCCCCTCTTTCTCTCCTCTTCTCAACTTCTCACTGTCCCACTTCTCTTTTTTCATCTATCTCTCCTTCCTCTCTCATTACCTCCTCCTCTTTGTTTCTCTGTTATTCTCTCTCTTCTCCCCATCTGTCTCTCTTCCTCCCTCCCTATCTCCTCTATCCCTCCTCATTTTCACTCCATCTTCTCTTTCTTTCTTTCTTTCTTTCTCTCTCTCCCCCTCCCCTTTCACTCTCCTTTCATCTCCTCTATTTCTTTCTCTCTTTCGCTTCTTCATCTCTCTTCTTGTTACGCTCTGTCTTATCCTTTCTCTCACACCTTGCCTCTTCTCTCTCCTCCTTTCTTTTTCTCTCTCCTCACTCCTTCTTTCTGGCTTTCTCTCCTTCTTCATCCTTCCTCGCCCTCGCTCTTTTTCTCTCCTCTCCTCTCTCTCCACCCCTTGCTTTCTCTTTCTCACTTTTCTTTCTCTCTCCACTGCCACTACCACTCCTCCCTCTCTCTTCTTATTCTTCTCTCTCCCTCCCCTCCCTCTTTCCTTCCTTCCCTCTTCCTTCCTTCCCTCTTTCCTTCCTTCCTTCCGTCCTTCCTTCCCTTCCTCTCCTTGTTTCTTGTGTTTTTCAGGTTGACGTCTGAAGTGACTGGGATGGGCTCCATCTAACACACACACGCGCACACAGACGCACACACCCCTACACACACACAAAAACACACACACACACACACACACACACACAGACACAGACACACCCCCACTACACACACACACACACACACACACACACACACACACACACACACACAGACGCACACACCCCAACACACACACACAAACACACACATGCACACAGATGCGCACACAAACACAAACACACAGAGACACACACACCCCTACACACACACACACACACACACACACACACACACACACACACACACACACACACACACACACACACACACACACAGACGCACACACACACACACCCCTACACACACAGACGCACAGACACACAAAAACACATGCACACACACACACACACACACACAGACACCCCTACACACACAGACGCGCACACAAACACAAACACACAGAGACACACACACACACACGCACCCCTACACACACACACAGACACACACACACACACACAAAAACACATGCACACAGACACACACACCCCTACACACACACACACACACACACAACACACACACACGCACACACACAGACACACACCACACACACACACACACACAGACACACGCGCACACAAATACACACAGACACACACACGCACCCCTACACACACACACACACATACACACACAGACGCACACACAAACAAACCCCCCCCCACACACACACACGCACGCACGCAAACACACATGCACCCCTACACACAAACACACACGCACCCCTACACACATACAGACGCACACAAACACAAACAGACGGAGATACACAGAAACGCACACAGACGCACACACGCACATGCACACAAACACACAGAAACGCACACAGACGCACACACACAGATGTGCACACACACGCACACAAACACACACAAGGACACGCAGAAACACAATACTCACACGCACACACAATATACTCATGTACACACACAATACTCATGTACACACACAATACTCATGTACACACACAATACTCATGTACACACACAATACTCATGTACACACACAATACTCATGTACACACACAATACTCATGCACACACACAATACTCATGTACACACACAATACTCATGTACACACACAATACTCATGTACACACAAAATGCACACATACAGACACACACAGTCCTCATGCACACACACATGTATTAGAGAATACTGAAGTCACAGTCACTTTGTTTCATTTTGTCGTACGATGATTTTGTGCACTACTGAACGAGGAACCACATTTAAGCTGAGCTCTGGAGGTCTCTGTCCACGTTTACATGAGGGATTAACTCTGAATTTACTGTTCAGAATTAAAATACTCTTCTTCAATTTCACATGGAAATAATAATTCTGAATTAAGGTTTACATTTACATTTACGTATGTCAGCGTCTGGGGGTGGGGAAGGTTCTGATTGGACAAAGACACCAACGGATTTACGTCGACTGGAAGAAAACACACACTTCAGCTGCTCCCGGCTTTTCTGTCATCTCCACGGACACAAACGCGATCCAAACTTTTTCCGCAGTGGTTCTGATAATTGTGCAGATGGAGAATTGTTTTACCACACTTTACGTCTGTCAGCTGAGGAGGAGAAGGGAAGAGTGTCGGAGAAAAGAGGAAGAAGACAAACTGAGCAAAATCTGTCACAAATCCAAAGAGCAGTGGATGAAAGTCCAAAGCCAGGGACTGGTGGAGCCGAATCGTCCAGAATGACCTCAGTTATTTTTAAAAAGAATAAACATGATCCAAGAATAAATTAATTCGGTTTTAAAATTGGAATAAACCACCTACTTACTTCAGAATTAAGTTTCATTCTGAATTATCATTTTCATTAGGAAATCAGTGTTGAAATGTCTTTTTTTTAAAGTGGAATTCATTTTTATTCAGAGTTAAATCAGTTTTATTCGGAATAAAATCTCGCATGTAAACGTGGCATGTGTCTCTGACGATGTGAAGTGTTCAGTGTGGTTTGAGTTTTACACTGGAGTCTGTTCACACTGGAGGATTCACACGTGGATGGAGCGCAGAGGGACGTGTATTATCAGAGTCATAGCAGTCATGTTGTTTTTAGGATATTCTAAATGACATTATAGTGTATCGTCAACTATAAACATGAGATGCAATAAGATCTAATATAAAAACAGAGACTTTTCTTTTCTTTTCTTTTTTTTTTTTTTTTTTTTGCACAAGGCCTGTTACGAGAGCTCATTCTGAAGCACTGTATACTGTTACACAGGGCGGTGCCAGGTCGGGGCCAGGCTCAGAGGGGCTCGTCACGTTCTGCCCGTAGACGTCAGTGTCACGTGATAAACCTGCGACTGTTAGTCCAACCCAAAAATTCAAATGTTCTGGCCGTAGTTGAACCTAAAGAGTCAGATACAGACAAGACACATTTATGTTTACTGGTTTAGACCTGGTTTAGACCTGGTTTAGTTCTGGTTTAGTCTTGGTTTAGACCTGGTTTAGTGCTGGTTTAGACCTGGTTTAGACCTGGTTTAGACCTGGTTTAGTCCTGGGGTTAGACCTGGTTTAGTCCTGGGTTAGACCTGGTTTAGTCCTGGTTTAGTCCTGGGTTAGACCTGGTTTAGACCTGGTTTAGTCCTGGTTTAGTCCTGGTTTAGTCCGGAGTTAGACCTGGTTTAGTCCTGGTTTAGACCTGGTTTAGTCCTGGTTTAGACCTGGTTTAGACCTGGTTTAGACCTGGTTTAGTGCTGGTTTAGACCTGGGTTAAACCTGGTTTAGTCCTGGTTTAGACCTGGTTTAGACCTGGTTTAGACCTGGGTTAAACCTGGTTTAGACCTGGTTTAGTCCTGGTTTAGACCTGGTTTAGTCCTGGTTTAGTTCTGGTTTAGTCCCAGACGGCCTCCTGTTGTACAGTTTAAAACACAAAGCATGTTTGACCAAATATTATACAAACATTTTTCACAATTTGCATTTTTATTTGATTTGATTGTGTAAATTTAGTTTATTAAATGATCAAATTCTCATTTCGCTGTATCCCAGATTTTCAGACACTCTTTTGTCCTCACTGTAAGTTTAAGTACAATCAAACAGAACCAGCTTTGCCTCTGACGCAAAAACCCTGAAATATGCAACTCCTGAATGAACAGCCATAGCCGTAGTTTAAAAGTGCTTTCAAACCGCTAATTGTAAAAGTTTCTTGTAAAACATATGAACAATTCTAACCTCTGACTTTCACTTTGATGAATCTTTGGGATTTGAACAGAAAAAGTATGAAAAATTATCTTTCTGTTGGTGTTTTTTTTTGTTTTTGAAATTTGTAAAAATGAAATAAAGTTGTGCTCTATCTGTAAGTGTGAACGTCTGTCACTTTGTCCTGAGCTCCACTGAAAAGGGTCCTGGTTTAGTCCTGGTTTAGTTCTGATTTAGTCTTTGTTTAGTTCTGATTTAGACCTGGTTTAATTCTGGTTTAGTCCTGGTTTAAATCTGGTTTAGACCTGGTTTAGTCCTGGTTGAGTCCTGGTCCAGTCCTGGTTTAGACCGGGTTTAGACTTTGTTTAGTCCTGGTTTAGACCTGGTTTAGTCCTGGTTTAGACCTGGTTTAGTCCTGGTTGAGTCCTGGTCCAGTCCTGGTTTAGACCGGGTTTAGACTTTGTTTAGTCCTGGTTTAGACCTGGTTTAGTCCTGGTTTAGACCTGGTTTAGACCTGGTTTAGTCCTGGTTTAGTCCTGGTTTAGACCTGGTTTAGACCTGGTTTAGTCCTGGTTTAGACCTGGTTTAGTCCTGGTTTAGTCCTGGTTTAGACCTGGTTTAGTCCTGGTTTAGTCCTGGTTTAGACCTGGTTTAGACCTGGTTTAGACCTCCTGGTTTAGACCTGGTTTAGACCTGGTTTAGTCCTAGTTTAGTCCTGATTTAGTCCTGGTTTAGACCTGGTTTAGTCCTGGTTTAGTCCTGGTTTAGACCTGGTTTAGTCCTGGTTTAGACCTGGTTTAGACCTGGTTTAGACCTGGTTTAGTCCTAGTTTAGTCCTGGTTTAGACCTGGTTTAGACCTGGTTTAGACCTGGTTTAGTCCTAGTTTTGTTTAGACCTGGTTTAGACCTGGTTTAGTCCTGGTTTAGACCTGGTTTAGACCTGGTTTTAGACCTGGTTTAGTCCTGGTTTAGACCTGGTTTAGACCTGGTTTAGTCCTGGTTTAGACCTGGTTTAGTCCTGGTTAGACCTGTTTTAGACCTGGTTTAGACCTGGTTTAGACCTGGTTTAGACCTGGTTTAGATAACTTTACTTTCTGTTGGGCTAATAATAATAATTCTAATAATATTATTGATGTTTGCAGATAAAACTTTACTCTCTCATAATCTTACACATTAGAAATAATGTTGAGGTTAACAGTTTATGGTTAAACAGATTTAAACTTCTTCACCTGCTGTGCTCGGCAGAGAAGATCCTCAGACTGGACCTCTCGTCTGGAGCACATCTCCACCCAAAGGTGCAGGACACGTTCACTCTGACAACAGATGTCATCGCTGCTGCCATCAGGGGGCGCTACCTTCTTCTCAGGGCTAAAACTGAGAGGATGAGGAGGAGTTTCTAACCCGGGGTCATAAGACTTGACCAGAAGTCATCGGCTGTGTCCCAATTCAAAGGGCTGCAGCCTCCGAAGGCTGTGAAGGCTGGGTCCTTCGTCGGCCGCGAAGGCTGCAGCCCTTGAACTGGCCTCCGCGGACCGCCAGGGGGTTGCGGAAATGGGACAGGTCTAGTCCTCGGAGCCGCTCCCCTGTCGCCTAGCAACCGAGGGACGCTGCTAGTGCTAATGCTAACACGCTCCGCGCAGATTACGCACACGGATCAGTAAAAAGACGCACAGGTCATCAAACTGTCGGATTTTGTGACCAAATTATTTTAATAATTCGCATCCAAATCTTATGGCCAAAACCGAAAATGTATGTTTAACCTTTGCAAAACAAAACGGCTATATTTAAGGGATACATTTTAAATAGACTAAATTATCTTAAA